TACCGAAGGTAAGTAAGCTATTATTCGAGAAAGACCGAGGATCTACGGGTGTGTATCACTAAATGGCAAAAATTTCGAGCACCGCAGTAAAATAAAGCCATCGAAGTCATGCATCTAAAAAATATTTGGGAAGGCAAGAGGCTACCCGATAGACTATATTGGGGTTATGCCAAGTAAGATCGGACCTGATCTGGCCAACAGCGGATTATAAATATAGCTGCATGTACTATTATATCGATAGATACATACGTACAGTGTCATTAGTGTATTCTCCACGCCTAAGCTTGCGGTAGCTGTAGCTGTTGTCCGATTTTCATACTACGTAGTATCTCAATGTTGCATGCAAAACTTTCGTGTGTTCGCTTCTCTTCCACAGCACAGTACAGCACACCACGGCATGCTCTAGCACCGCACAGAAAAGGCATCGGATCTTCTAGAAGAAAAAGAATGTGTGCTAAAAATAGGTTATTGGGATTTTGAGCATATTTTCTTCGCCTTCCACAGATACTACAGTCGTAATTGTACCCAACGACTAGTGTACAGATGCTATACTATTTACTCCATGTAGTAATCGCTCAGTAGGTTTCATGCACCCTAATGGTTGTTGGTTACGCGACGATAGGATTTGACGAGGGAGGCGTCCGAAGTAATTTGTACAGTATGATCAATATCCTTATCACAAAAAAATAATCGGCATAGCATAATGGCAATAATAGAGACAGCACTCAGGACTCAGGAGGACACGATTGGAGTTCTGACTTCATCCTCAGAATGCATGAGTAATCCAATCCCTCCCCTTTTAAAGCCGATACCTATATCCCAATCCATATCGATCCATATAAAGTGGCTAGGCGGTGAAGCTAGAACCCTAGTCCTTGGCGAGCACATTGTTAACCAATAACGTGGGTTAAAAAGGGGCTTTAGGGTTTATGACATTTTTTCAGAACAATGATGGTGATTTATAAGAGTAAACTAAACGTAGGAATTTGGAACCGTATACAGAGCAAAGATCAAAACGCGCGGGAGAGGGAGGGGGTTTATCCCTTCAGCTGCGGCCGCTAACTCATGGTTTGGATCTAAACTCCTGTCAAGTGAGACAAACAGTGCTCAGAAGCTCAACGGTACCCGAGGTCATGCCTGATGTGCTCCGGCTAGTGGAAACTTGAAAGGAATACTGTAGAACAAGCTCTAGTTAACCATTTTGAGTCAATTAGAGGCCGATCATAGTGCGTTAACCCCCCGAAATCTCATCATGATATTTTGTATGGTTGATGTTGAGGTTGATGTTGAGGTTGATGTTGCTGTTGATGTCAATTTTAGTTCTTCTATGGAGTATATATTCGATGTGCAAAATATGGAATCGTGAATGTACAGCCCGATGGAGTGGTAACCCTGGAGATCGTCGTACCTAGGAGATGACATGTCTGAATCATAGGGCAGAGTGAGATATCTTTTAATCGGGACAGTTTATGCCCGTTTGCTTATTCTGCTATTTGGGTCACTTGACACTGATACATCCACCTACCTTCGCATCGTTTCTCAAAGTAGCAATATAGGGAGTATATATCCGAGTTTGATGTCAAGAACAGAATAGAACATGAAAGGGGCATTTTAGATCTCGAGATACAAGGACTGATATTCAAAATGCCACTATGATGATTGTGAATGAAAATTCTTGTAGTTTTTGCACAGCCACCGGCAGTTTCAGTCAGGCAAGTCTGTCACCAGAAGCGACGAAACCCTACATCCAGGGCCTTTTTCAGCATTGCATCATGACAGGATAGTGATGTAAAAATGGACACGAGAAAACGTGTGACTAAAATTGTAAGTTGTCTACATTTGCAAATGGAATGCTCGTTTGTCTGCTTGGTTCAAATTTCACCAATGCGACACTGGTAAGATATCGATTTTTAAATCCGTCATGCTGCTCATGGTTAGTGTGAGGCCGAGTCGTTCGCCCGTGCTACCAGTATTGACGAATGAGTATGTGCGAAGATCCTTTGGGGCCGCATCCTTCCTTTGAAGAGTGGTGTTTGGGCTTGAGCGGCGGGCAAGCGTCGATGCGTTACAATACCATCACAGCCGGCTTGCTTTGATTTGACTGTGCCCATAGCCTCTCAAAACAGCTATTGAGAGTGAGGACAAAAAAGGCGATAGGAGGATGTGATGGGGTGGGATGGATGGATGGATGGATGGATGTTGTTCCCGAATAAGCAATGGATAGATGGGGATATCGACAGATATCAGGCCTCGCTCCACATTCATGCATTCACATTGCAAAGTGAGCGCACTGTAGCACGGTATAGCAACATGATATTATAGCCTGCCTAGTCGAAATATCATCACATTTCGGTCTCGCTGTTGTAGGCTTTGCCGTTGATTACCGCAAATTAATTTGAGGCTAAACGATGTATGGTAGGACTATAATGAACGATACGTTGGACAAAAGAGGGAAAGATTATAATAGTTGCCTCGGTCAAACGATTCAGTTAATGCACTAACGTTACTTCTAGCTTCAATTCACAAAGTTACATCACTATTGTCCGTAAATCTACTTTATATATGCCATTAGTGATAGGCAGAAGTATATTGTGCCAACAAGCTTTCTCTTTTAGCATGGTTCAGTCAAAGCCAAAATACTACAATGCCATCATGTAGGTAGGCTAATTAAGATAATTAACCGTTCTCCAGCACAATGTAACTAAATCCCCCGTCATCATAAGTTCAAGCAAAGAAAAATGGAGGCTGGAGCCCTATGCCCATAGTGGGTACTCGCCAACATCTACGGAGTACATCATGGAATCTGTTTTTCATTGATCAGGGATATTGATTCGTCCTGAAGGAGGGAGGTGATGGCCAATATGGCACGCCAATCCTTTTTCCAGGGTAAGAAACATAGGAAGATATTGTGGGTTGCCGTTGGTGGTAGACACTTCTCACATATCGACCACTAACACAATAATATCCACAAATGGACAGTGTGGAATTGAAATCCATCCAATACTATGTCAGCTATTCCATCCAAAATTGAATCATTTAGCTGTCACGGACACATGGGAGTAAGTCAGTAGTGTGTGGTAGGTATGTACGGGTGGATGCAAATGTATAAGTGTATAGTTCATAAATATTCACAGACTTATTTTTGGAAAAAGATGCATTGCGCCCTTCCATCCATTACACAGTACACACCAGAATCCTTAATCCTTGCTATACCTTATTCCAAAGACCGCATCAGAAGATCTACGCCGCTGAAAGCTGGTTCGTTGTTCAAGACAAGAAAGATGGAAACATCTCTCCACTAACCTCATGCTCTCCCTAGAATCGGAAATATGCACCGTAGCATCATATGTACTATCACGCAGAAATTGATATCAAAATTAGGTAAGTGGATAGATGACTTTCTAGCATTGTTAGCACATCCGCAACAAAATAGAGTTTTTTCTCACTGGTTTCTCCGGAAAAGCTAGGTGGAACCATGAACGCGGTGAGTGGTTAGTTGTCTCTAGGTTTTGGGTAGATTTAGACTTCCTCTGCTTTGACTAGAAATTTTCGGCGAGCAAACAAGAAAGAACGGTAACGATTTTGTTTTAGGATCAAAAATAACGATTGGACTGACGAGACTCTGTATTTAAGAGAAGCTTAAGGATGTAAGAAACAACAGTAAGAAACAGAAACAGAAGCAGAAACAGAAACATCAACTCTCGGAGGGAGTTAAACCGGAATAGGATATTTTTATCCGAGGTTTCTCCTTTTGTTTTGTCCATTTTTATTTTTATTTTCCTTACTTGTTTGCCCTGCCACCTTTCCAAGTGAAACCTAAATGGACATTTCTAATGTCCGAATCTTGTACACTTTGGTTTTGGACCCCTCTCTGAGCCCTGTGTGAGAACGAACCCTAGATTTTTACGCCCATTGCTTCGGTACTGTGTCATTGGTATAATTCAAGGAACTTTCGATCTCAGCCTACTATTCACCCCTGGTTGGAAATGTGGTGATGGGTGTAATATCTCACAGCACTGGTAAATCCGCTGTCAATATGATGTTGCCGTCGTAGGAATAGTAGTAAACACTACCTTGAAGTAATCTAGCCAACGATCAAAACACATGGATGGATGATGTTGATTGATGGTGATGATGATGATGATGATCAGGTTTTAGTCGTTTCGCCCCCAAAAACAGATCATTATTGTTGGAGTTAGGTGCATTCTCCGGTAACTAGTACCCTGCATCCATTGACCTTTTTAAACATTTTATCTATCTTACTAAAAGTGATAATACACAATATATATCTATAAAATAAATATGTGTGTATGCTATTACCACAACTCGGCCAACCTAAGACCTCACGCTGGTACAGACTCTTCCTCCTTGTGGCACCCAAGATGTTTGCCCTCCTTGGTATGAAAATAGAAATGATTGGTGGTGCAGCCAGTGGAATGGATGGATAATGATATAGCCAAGATAGTAGACTAAGGAGCCATCCTATGGCATGGCAAAATATGGCATGCAGTTTGCTAAGCAATGATCTAATGAAGATGTTACTAATGTCTATTTACTGTCTCCCTGAGCCTTGCAACTACTGCAGCTCTATAACCAGTTATTTTCTCAAGTTTTTTCTCTCTGACCTACGGGGAGTACTGAGTAATCGATCAATTTCACTCCACCTGACCTAAAGTTTGCCCATTTCAGTCCACCCCTCCAAAAAATACTTCCATACACTAATCATACACTTACCATCTTAGCCTCTTACCCTTCTACCTCCACCATACCGTTCATCCACCCTGACCATACCCAAATCCAAGTCATCATCATCCTAGACACTCCGTACCACACTACCCTGCCCTACACATGCAGGCTTTCAAGCGCTCCGCATCCCGGGTACCTTGGCTGTGCTGAGCGCTATACCTATTTCGTCAATTCTGCCACACTTCCGGCACAGGACGCCTTTTGCTATTAGAATGCTGGCATCGCCAGCCAAATCATAATTTTGATATTTCCCTTTCGCATTAGGATCATCCAGAAAACAAACACACTTCAGCCCTCACGTTCGCTGCAGCTTCTCCCTCCCACATTCGCTTGTGTGCATCACCTTTAGGAAGCCCTCGTTGGCTCCTTCCATTCGCTTTTTGTGTCGTCCTCACTCAGCCCTAATTCTCTCAAAATCTAAAAGGCAAGCCTTCGGAGGAAATTCCTTTCGCAGCCTTGACTCACAGTAGACCTTCGTTGAACAACTCAAACACACGCAATAACTATTCTTCGTGTGACGATCATCAGGCCTGATTCTCTTTTGATCTCTCGGATTTTCAAAAGACGTCCAGCTTATTTGCTGCTAAAGAGTCTGTCTAACCTCAACTCGACATCAAGATACAGTTACGTTACGTTCAGCCGCTGCACCCTTTGACTCTTGCTATTTTGTAATTCAAGGGGATATTTAATTCCGGCTGGCTCTTGCAGCCTTACCATTACACTCGCTTTCAGGACGGTGGGGCTTACATATATCCGGCAGCCTCGGAGACCTTTCAAACCTTCTCAAGTGCCTTCCATTCTGTTGCCTCTCTCACGCAACATTTAAACATTTTGGCTTTCTATATATCTAATTGACCTTACTTTCTAAACCGTTTCGACGTTGGCTTTCACTCGTTCAAGCCTTCGTCGTCAATTCTTTACTCTTAACTTCTTTTACCAAAGCCCTATTTAAAATGGCCGGACCTGGAGGTGGACCCCCTCGTAGGAGGTAAGATACATACACTCGCAACATATCTGAGAACGAATACTGAACTTGAAATAGTCATACCAAATCTCGAAAGGGTTGTGAAACCTGCAAACGTAGACACATTCGTTGCGATGAGAACTTTCCTCAATGGTATGTCGGTGAAAGCACAGCTGTCTAGTGGCACGAAGCTCCCATATTAACAATAATTAGTCGAAACTGTACGAAACACAATTGCCGCTGTCCATACATGGACATGCCAGTACAGGAGGAGCGAGCTGCAACCCCCGAGAAAGCAGACTTGTTATGGACCCCAGAAATCGAAGCAGATATTGAGCGTTGGCAACAGACCGGGAACTTCCCCTTCCCTGATCTGTATATCTATCCAGCTCCTAACCCTCAATATTTCACTTTTGAAGACCTCCGTCTCATTCATCATGTTGCTTCCGTTTCCAGCGAGCTCAGCATCCATGATGCTGGCAATTTCACCATCTGGACTCGACAAATTCCACTGTAAGTTGACGTACTTTATAGAACGGAGGGATGATGAACATTCTAACCAGACTCTAGCTTGCTTAAGATTGGCTCGAGCTACCCTTTCGTCATGCATGCTTTACTTGCATTGTCTGCCACTCATTTAGCTTGGTTGACAGACTGCCCCCTCACGGCAAATATGGCATACATACATCGTGGTATTGCTCTCAAAGGCTTGCACGAAGCTATCGGAGAATTTTCGAGACAAAATTCAGATGCAGTTTTGGGTGCTTCTCTCCTCCTTTCCTGGCAAGCAACGGAATGGTAAGTCATTGATAGAGATATTCTGAACAGAACATGAAGCTAATCTCCATATAGGCGTGGTTGGACCCAGCTGATGCATGGGACTTCATCTGTATGACTTGAATATTATTTTAGTGTAATGATAGTTAACATCAACTAACATCTGATAGGTCATTGACGCTATGCAACCATGGAAAATGGAATCTCAATTCGGCGATTTTATTGCAGAGCAAAGTACGTTCCCAACCGCGCCGCCATCTCCAGCACCCGGCCAGAAAAAACTTAGTCAACCACGCAAGCAAGACTTGGACGCGTTGCAACGCGCTTACGCTCAACTACAAAAGGTGGAAGTCCATCTTAAGGGTAATGGCGAGGACACCAAAGCTATCCAACAGCTCATGAGTTTTGTTCGAGGTGTCCGGAAGGTGTCCCCATCCCACACCGCCGCTCAGCGATTCGAAATGCTCAACCCACTTCGAGCTTGGTTGTTTTGGCTACCGGTAATGTTTTTGCAGCAAACACGAGGATCTCCTTCGGCATTGGTTATCCTTGCTCATTATTATACCATTGCTTTGGTCGTGGAACCTCTTTTTCCTGAAGTTGGAGCTGCATACTTCGGAAGTCTTTCTTTGGGTCCCATTGAGGAAATCGCTCGCCGATTGTTCTCGATCAATGTTTCCCAAACTTCTGACTCCAATATGCAAACTCCTCTTCATCTCATGGAGTATCCCATTGATATGGTTTCGAAGTTCCGAAGTCGCATGGGTTGGGTTCAGCCAGAACGTACAGCATCATTCCCGACATTCTCACATAACAACTATAGCATGGAGGACAATTTCAACACCATCTCTCCATATGGGAACCCGGCTTTCACCTACAGCCAAGAGCATATCATGACCATGCCTCCCGATCCAATCTCTGCTGCAGCCATTCCTCCATTAACTCTCGATCCATATGCGGCTCACTACTTGGGAATTCCATCGCCTAGCGGGTTTGGGGGATATCATAGCCCGGCATCTTCGAATTTTGGGGAAGGTTCTATTGTCTACAGCGAACATGGGGAAGATTTTGCTCTTTATGAGGGGCAGGGCTCCGGCTCCAATTTCGGCGGGTTTGTGCTTCCGACCGTGTGGATATAAACCTCGAACGAAGGCGATTTAACATTTACGACCAGGACCACAACACCATCTTTTCAATTTGAGCCCAGGTCTTCTGTGGACCCAGTCAAATTTGAACCTCAAACTTCGCACCATATGCAGCAACAAATGCAGCATATTCCTCAATATCTTCCTTATACTTCTCATCCTCAACCGTTACCTCACTCTCCATTCGAAACTACTCCGGCGAATCCCAAGGGGAAAGGTCGCGAGCTTTAATATCAAACTATCCTCATTTCCTTGTTCGAATTTGCGATTATGCGCGCACTATCAGATTACGAGATCATATTTACGGATCTCTTTAATTATTGTTTTTAATACTACACAATCCTAACGACTCTCCTTTATATCCGACCAACGATTCACGAATTTAACGATTTTCTTTTGCTATGCATTCTTGTACGAATACCAGCACCCACGATCCTTTATATACCACTAGCATATTGCATTGGGCGGCGTTTTTTGACTGCGTTTGAAAAGGGGAGGAATTATTGAATGGGCTGAGCTTCATGGGCTCAAGGATAGCCATGGATGGCTACAAAAATCAGTTGGGCGTTATAGTTAAGAATAGCGGCTATTTTGTGCAATGTGCATTGGAATGGACTTGGATTTGGATTTGGATTTGCAAACATCTGGGGTTGCAATGATAATGTGTCTAGATAATCTATCAGATAATCTACCAGGAAACCAGTCAATCGACCTATCAATCAATCAATTAACCAATAAAATAAATAAACTATGGTCTTTTCCAACTTTTGAAGTGATGGTGATAAAGCAATGAATGATGTGTGATTTCTCCAGATCTAAACATCTATCCTTACGCCTATCCTTACATATATCCTTACATCTACTCTTACGTCTAATCTATCCTTTACTTCCTCAACGACTTACTATGCAGTCAGCTTTCCGGAAAAAGTAAATTAGGATTTCCAGTTTATCCATCTATATTGAGTATTGAACCTTCGGTAACATGCAACTTCAAAGATCTACAGCCTTAATGACGTGCATTCACCTATGAAGCTCACCGGAAGCAATATGGGGCTGGCTAGAGCTGTCACGTGTGGAGGGGTTAGCGCCAGACGTCCATCGTACCTGAAGCTTACCTACCAAGTAAGATTATCTAGTAGTCCAGAAGCTTGAGCTCCAAATATCCGTGAAGCTCAAATTCACAACTCTCCCTCACTCACCACAAGCATTGTACATTTAACTATAGCAGATATGAGTGGTGGCTGGTCTACCAGTAAGTGCTGCATCTTCAAATATTTGCATAAAATATGTACAGTACCAAAAATACTAACAATTCTATGCAGTTGAATCGGACGCAGTAAGAAATACATCCCACGAACTTCGATTTGGAGATAAACAAACGGCTAATCTCTTCTCCGCATAGGGTGTCTTTACATTTCTTCTCGATAATCTAGGCGTCAAAGATGTACAATTTGAAGAGCTGATTTCCCTAGACTCCGACTTTTTGCGCCAACTCTCCCCTGTCTACGGCGTCATATTCCTCTTCAAATATCCCGTCGGAGAAGCTCCCAACAAAGATGGCACACCTAAAGATGGCTCTTACGACTATTCTGCTGCGGAAAATCTTTTCTTCGCTGCGCAAACTATACAAAATGCATGTGGAACCCAAGCTCTACTCTCGGTGCTTCTGAATAAAGATGGAGAGATAGATGTTGGGGTCCCGCTGCGCGAGTTCAAAGAATTCACTGCTGGATTTCCGGCAGAGTTTAGAGGAGAGGCGCTCAGTAATAGCGAGTTGATCAGAGATGTTCATAACAGTTTTGCCAAATCAAGTCCGTTTGTTGATGAGACGCAACGATCCTCTAGGGATGAAGACGGAGATGTCTATCATTTCATCGCATATACATCTATTAACGGTACACTGTATGAGCTTGATGGTCTGCAACCTGCACCTATATCTCATGGAGCTTCTACTATCGAGGAATTTCCGGAGAAAGTCATACCGGTATTACAGAGAAGAATCTCACGATATCCGGCAACTGAGATACGGTTTAATTTACTGGCGATGGTGAGAGATTTGAGAGTTAGGGCAAGGGAAATGGGGGATGTGGAGTTGTTGATGAGGGAGGAACAGAAGAGAAATGAGTGGCAGTTTGAGAATGCCTTACGGAGACATAATTTTGTGGGGTTCGCTGGGGAAGTATTGAAGGGTGTGATAGGGGATAAGTTGAAAGAGGGACCTAAGGCTTACGAGGAGTGGATTGAAGAGGCGAAAAAGAAGACGAAGGCGAGAGCGGCCGAGCAGAAGAAAGGTGGAGGTGAGGATCTCGAGATGTCGGGCTGAGAGACATCACTTGCCATGGTTGGAATTGAGCGATCTCGCTCTAACGCCTTGATTTTGATGTTAATGAGTGATGGAATATACATCACTCAAAATGCCTGGGTGATTGGAGTGATAGCAATGCATATAGAAATGTTTTCTAGCGAAGTATGCCAATTGGTTCTACTTTAGCATCAGTAATCGCAGGAGTCGTCGGAGTTGAAGGGAAATATACCGATGCAGTTTCTCATGATTCTCTCGTGCTCTACATCAAACCTTTTCTTTTCTTTTAACCAATTTGCCTTTGCCATGAGACATTGACAAGTATACTATCTAACTGCCATCTTCCATCTCATCTTCCATCCAGAACCACCCTAATATCCCTTCATCTTCTCTCCCTTCTAAATACATATATCAAACTACCTAGGTACCTATCTAAGTTTTCATCAATCAATTACCTAATATTTACTATTTATGATTTAGAGCCCTTTACATAGACTCGAGTACACTGGCCTAGCTCTTCAGTTCTCTAGATAGAGTAGAGTAGAGAAGAGCAGAGCTGAGAAGAGCAGAGTGGAATAAAATATGGAAATTAATCTAGGTCTTTTGAGAGGAATAAATAAGTATGAGTAAGTATTTATTAAATAGAGTATTTAATTTAATATTATTAGTATTTATATATATATATATTTCAAATTCAAATCATATCATATTATATTATATTTCAAGCTATTATATACATATTATTTATTAATTATTATATATCTATAATTGTATATTTATACTATTATTAAAATACTTATAACATTATCTATACTCAAATTCCACACCTCATACACTACTGGTATGAATCTGCAAAAACGTTTCCTTCATATTAAAAACAAGTAAGGTCATAAAATCATATAAAGTAAAATATAAATGCTACCTAACAATTTGAGCAACGCCCTCCTGAATACTTTCTTGCAGTCTCGTCTCCTCAGACGTACTTGGCTGACTCTTCTTTGCTCCTCGCTTCTCCTTTTCCGTTTCCTTCTTCTCCTTCGGCATCTTATCTTTAATATTATTAAAATGTACTATTCCCAACTCCCTATCCCTCCTCAACTTTTCCCTGTCCGCATCACTAACCGGCACACCCTCTATCGTCTTGACTTTTTTCGCTTCCATAAATGACATGATACCTCCACAAGCAGCGACAATACAGGCTAGTGCTACAAAGAGACCTGTACTCCACGATGGACGGTCATAACGATTGAGACCCCACATGAAACCCGACAGGACGGCTTGGAGGAATGTATTCCATACCATTGTCCAAACGACAAAATCGAGTTTCCATAAAGCGGTGGGAGGGGCGCGAACACCTGTCAGTGGCGCATCGGGTGATTTATCGAGAGGAAAAGCAATGCAGGATTGCGGCACATTGGAGCCTTCGGTGACAATCTGAGCGGGCCCTAGTTCTGGAGAGAGGTTCTGAGAGCCAGCGAGTCGAAACCAACTTCGGTTAATCCCGGCTAGTCTTCGAAGACCGGTTTCATTCTTACCCATTCGGTATTGGAGAAGGTAATAGAGATCGCGAAATCTCCAGGGAATAGTACCAAATCCGGTGACACAGAATAGAGCGTTCAAGATCTGGGAATCGATTTCGATCCAGATGCGTCGAGGGGAATTGATATCGTTGCAGCTTGGACGACACATGGCTGGAGAGGCATTACACAAGAGCAAGAAGAGCATACCGCCCCAAGCTACAACATTCAATCCATAAATCGTAACAAGAAATCCCACTGGGGTGATGAAGAATTCCCAGAATGCTTTGAAAAATATTGCTGTCGATACGGTCCATGAGTGCTTGGGTGGAAATTGATACCCATTATCAAAAGGGGTTGTTTTCTTTCCATCTTCCACCTTCGCGTTGTGAGATATACCGTTTGTGTTAATGCTACTCCTCACATTCGAAATGGGCTTGACAAGTACGTCGCTCTCGACATCAAGGTTTTTTGCCACAGAGATGGCTCTCAGATCGCGATGCGCCTGGAAAGACGCTCGAAAATCTTCCTCTTCCTCTGCAGCTTCAGGGAGGACATCGTGTCTGATTTCCGTAGGGGATGGCATATTATCCGAGGTATTCATGCCCATTGAACCCTTCCTGCTGTTATTCCCCTGCTCTCCCAGTTGTGAAATAGTGCTTCGCGAAGTACTAGCCTGTCGTTGATTTTCTCGAACCTGTCTATCGCCCGATGAGCCCTCCGTTCCAAAATTTCCTCTTCTGATATCGGTTATCGAGGGGACCTGCGATGCGATTTGCCCTGTCGCAATACAAAATCCCGTAGGTGGATTCGACTCCTCAAATACTTTGGAAGCTCGTCGAATACTATTAAATGTACTTGACCGCCGCTTACTTCGAGTAGTCCCTTCAACCCCAGCTTCAACCTCGGTAGAGGGAGAAGATGGACCTTGAGGGGAAGATTCCTCTAGAGAGGGGAATGGTTCGACGCCAGATTGTTCATCTTGGCGCGGCGTATCCGTTGGAGGCGAAGTCGTATTGGCATTGTTGCCGCCACTTGTCGTGGAAGTATGGTTGGCCATTGCAAGTATATTGATATTTGTATCTGAAGTCGTACTCTCTTGGTCATTCGCAAATGAACGAAACGATATAATTTGATTCTTGACATCGATCAAGTCATATTCGATGGATATATGCAATGCCCACTAGCTACCTAAGTAAAGTGAATATGGTTGAGAGAAAGAAGAGAAAAAGAAGAAAAAATGTAGCATCTTGGATGTGTATGGTCCCGGATACTTTACTGACTCGATTATCAACTGGGCATTCCAGGTGTTGTATACGATAAGATGATCTTAGCGGCTTTCGTAAGATCTTACTTTCTTCGTACTCTCGTACTCTCGTACTCTCGTATTCTCGTACTTTCGTATTTTCGTAATTTCGTATTTCGTATTTCGTATTTCATATTTTCGTGCTCTTTGCTAAGGAGCTATCCTAGATAAAAAACCAGATAAACTCAACCTATCCTCCTGTTTTTAACTTGTAAATCATTTATTGATCACATTTGGAAGTAGGCGTAAGGTAAAAATATCAATCTATCCGGCTTTCAGCACAGGTGGAAGAGTTATTCTAGGGGTTGCCTGTGTAGAATAAATTATAAGAACGTACAACAAAAGATTACTCTTCGTCTTCACTGAAGTGATTATCACTATTTGAGAAGGACTTGACCACTCCTCTTATGTCAAGATATGATTTTAAATTATGCATTTCAAGATCCAAGCTGTCCGCGTGTATGTCTTGGAATGAATCCAACATCATCCATATCCCACATTTCTTTATACCGTATGAATGACCAAACCGCTGCTTGCATATTCCCATATTCAAATACAATTCAGAACTCAAAACAATCATGCTATGCTATATTCGCGTGAAAGAAATGAAGAGAATGGAAGCAATTATGAGAGCTTGCCCTCCGCTCTTGCGGCTAAAATCACGTTAGCTTCACTCTCGAAATGACCACAGGATTCTTACCCTTTACTTGCTCGAAGACTTTGAGCATCTTTCTTCTCGCTCCAAGAGCGTTGACACCCCTCTTCTCCAATGCTTCGTCATCTAGTTCCACAAGTTCGGTCCAATTCATATCCTTAAGTTGATCGGTATATTTGTGCAATCTCAAACTCCTCAGCCAGCTGGGAATATCCTGGAGAAGGCTAGGATCAGTAGGATCCTCGGGAGGCTTTGAGCTACCCCGTCTTCCTCGTGGCGACCTGCCCCGCGGCATTTCACTATGATCGGAGAGATACCCTTCGTGCTGCCCCATGCCAAATGCGTTGAGACTTAAGTTAGCCATGCCATTGTTGAGTAGGGGCGAAACTCCATCGTACGCCGTCAGAAAGCCGTTATTTTGTGGAGATGCGAAATTGAGTTGACCAAATCCACCTTGCATGGCTACTCCTGGGGAGCTTGGCCTAGACTGCCTGCCTCCAAAAGAATGCTGCTGTTGAGCTTGAAGCCCTAGAACCTGGTCTCGACTCAATATCTGACCGTGTTCATTAATCATGACCACGTTTGCATTGGGCATATTATTGTGGAGACCAGGGGAAGGTGGAATCTGTCCACCATCGTTGGACCTAGCACGGCGGTACTTTCGTACGTCATCCAAAGCAAAACGATTATTAACTGTGGAAAGAGCCGCCAATTTCATGGCCGTAGCGTTTGCGACCATATCAGCTTGACTGTTGCTGCCTGCCGCATTGAAGTTGGGGACCATTGGTGTGTTGACCATCGAGGCCCAGTTTCCATTCCCTGCATTATATGGTGAAAGTAGTGGCATATCAGAGCCAGTATTATCTGGGGCGTTAATCACAGTACTTTGGAGGTTAGATGATCCTTGGATTTGACTTGGTCTGGGAGAGCGCAAGCCGCCAGCCGAAGGAGGTGGCTGCATAAACTGGCCCATTGGTGTTTGTCCTGAAGATGACTTGGGCCTGTTTGCCTGATCATTACTGCGAGATCCCCAAGGCGAGACGGGAGGTGCGTTGTTATCTGCTGAATCTCCGGGACCAGAGATGAGAGGTGCGGTGAGAGAAACACGGTTATCGTATGCTGCACTATTTCTGTTTGAGGTGGGAGGATTGCCCATTTTCTGGGTATATTCTGCCTTTTTGGTGGCGATGGCAGCAGCGGCATCTGGAAACATGCTATTTATAACAGATGGATCTAGCGCTGAGAGTCTCTTCGTAGATGGAGTAGCGGGAGGACGACCAATAGAATTTCTTGAGCCATCAACATTTGTTTTGTTCATTGCATCGTTGAGTCGACTTGACATAGGGTCTGAAGCAAATAATTAATTAGATAAATCTCACGAGACATGTGAAGCCCGGATATTAAGACGAACCTTTATCGAAGTTTGCGGGCGACAATACACCTGACATAGGATGTCCTTTGCCCATCTGCTGTAAGACTTGTATAAAGAAACGAATCTGTACTTGGGTTGTCTGTTGCAGTAGAGCATACAGAGCAGCGGTTCGTTCGGCTTCACTCAGGACTCTGAACCATTGTTCTATCGCGCTCAACTCATCCTTAAAGTCTTGATCCAAAGTTGCGGCTGCCATTTCTTCCAACGTGTTCTCATATTGATCAATGTCGGCGATCCATTGTTGAGCCATCGAGTCAGAAGCATCATTGTCAGAGACGCCCTGACTTTGGATTTGTTGAGTACCATAGAAATCGGATGAAGGCCTGGCTTGACCACGGCTGGCAGAGGGTGAACCTGAAAATGCGGCCATGTCTGCAGAAGCTCGAAGATGATGGCCTGAGCCGACAGCGCGTGAAGATGGAGGCCGTAGTGATGAAGTATTGGTAGACTCGACAGGAGTGCTGTTGCGATTGCCTATTACGTGGCCGGCAGACATATTGAGCATAACTGTTCCAAGTGCTGCTTTGAGAACCAGATGGTGTATGCTATATGCTATATGCTATGCTGTCTGCTGGAATGGAAAAGATTTGGAGATTCGCTTTAGGAGGAAACGGGGGGAAATGTGAAACACATCCGATAAATGTCAATGCGAGGAAGAAATGCAGGTTTCCAGGCAAAAGCCTCGACCCCAAAAATTAGAAAGATCTGCTTCAGTGTAAATACCGACAACGCTTGCTTGCTACCTGCAGGACCTGCTGAGGAGCAAAAATAATTGTACAGGATAGGCTCGTGTATTTTGTAAAGTAAGTTGAGGTGGATTAGAAAGTGGATGATGGTGAACCAATAGAGAGAGATTCTTCAAGGTTTGGTAGATATTCGAGTAGGCACCTAGCAAAAGCTACGAAGTCAAGAAAGATCAAGCCTGGAGATATCATATATGGAGTTGACTCAAGACTAAAAACCTGATGGGTAGATGCGGAGCAAGGAGCTCTTTTAAAAGCAAAATGTCCAACGGGAGAACACTATGAGGGATAAAGAAGAGGTCGGATTCACATTCAAATTCGAATTCACCAGTCTACCTAGCTAACGTAGATAATTAATATCTAAAGTGTTACCAGGTATAAGAAATGAAGGTATCTCCAGGTCTCCTTTCACTAAATCAATTCACTTCACACTTCATACATCACACATCCTTAGCAGTGTATGGCCATTGTTAATATAGATTCAGAATATAATAATCAATAAATTAATATTATCATATTGACCATGCATTTGCTCGTGGAAATGCAAGATACCTATCTAGGTACTCAACCCTCGGAATATCCAATACACTTTATATGTAATCTCATAAATGAAGCTATCCTAGGATACTATGACTCCAGATTATATATCCACAATTTGTAACCCCTTCGTCATGCACCATTGCCTCATAGAGTATTGAGAAAAAGTGTTTGGTAATGAAGGGGTTTGGGGTTTGATCTTGGCACGAAAAGAAAATATCCTTTCAGCTAGAGAGCATAGAGAAATGGCTCTAAAAGCTGTACACACAAATGCCTGTGTTGATGATTGTTTCTCGAGGAAACGGATTCAAGGTAGGAAATGGGGAATGGAATATTGGATTCATGGGAAAGAAGGATCGTTTTGCACTCATCCTCACAAAGTGAAATTCGAGGTTCGCCGGATGGTGTAGCTTGTGTTGATTCAATGGATAGTACTATCGCCCCCAGTGTCTAATCCCAGTGTAAACCGGCGGCTTGCTTCCACTTTCTTGTAGAGCAAAATATTGGAATGCAACTACTGCCACAACCAAGCCCCATGTAGTGAATAAATTATCATGTTCATGCGGACTCCCGTTTGCCCTCCTTCAACTCCTTCTGTAATAATAGTCAGTACCCGAATGCGGCGGAAACTGGTCATCGGAAGGAAGACGAACCAAAGCCTTCATTGTACCGTGGAGAGCATGTCTGTGGTTTCTTCTGAATTTAGGATCGGTACCCTTGAGGGATGGGTATCTGGAGGTCTTTGGCTTCTTGATACTGTGCATCGGTAGTAATTAGCCCTCCATTCATCGAAAACTGATTATTATCTTAGGTAGATAATGGTTGCGCTCCTTGATCGCGCTAAAATGTAGGAGTTCGTACCCGTTACGGTGAGCCTTCTTCGACTGGTTATGTTGGGACGAGTTCTTGGATTCTAAAAAACGCGGAAATCAGTATAACGGACACAAGAGTTCCAGATACCAAGGTTTTAACATACTCGCCATTGCGACTGTTGTTAATTAGCAGTCTGTTCGTTGTTGAGGTGGTCGATTTCGTTTCGTAGAGAGGAAATTAATTTCCTTCAAAATGATGTTTGTGGCTCGCCTAAATTTTAATAAAACACGTGATACCACAACTAGCTTCGACTTCCCCCTGGCAGTCCGCTCGCCCTACTTACTGCCCTACTGCTTTTTGACCCTTGAGCGAATCCTCCAGTGGATACAAAAACAGTTTTCCTCTATGAAAGCGCTCTTGTATGAGATGGTCGAGAATATTGGATGAATCGATAAGTAAGTATTTGCTATAAAATATATGTACAGTACAAGGTTCTATCACATCTACTCCGAGTCTCCGATCAAAATCGCGCCCTCTTTACGGTTCCTCTACCCAAAACCAAAAAAACAATTTCCATGTACTTGATTCCCACCATTACCCGGTCGACATTCGTTTCAAATTACTTGGCAATGACTGGTAGAACTTGCTTGGCTGTCGATGCTGCAAGATCGGCCGCCTTTTGCAACTGTTTTGATCTGATATTTCGAAGATATCGGAAGAGAAGAATGAAAAGTAATTCCATTCTATATAAGTGTTAGCCTGGATCAGTCTGACCTGAAAAACGTTGGTATGATTGGGGTTACCTTTCTTTTGTCATCATGAGGAGGCCTTGAACTATGAGTCCCTTGGTAATTTGTGGGCCAATGCCCTTAAAGAGACCTAATAATCCTTCATTATGAATAATGAATTGCATTACTTCGATGAAGCTCTTGAACGGTTTGCCCTCTCGGGAGGGGGGTGGCCTTGATTGAAGTCCAACCTTTGCAACGATTAAAGGCTGAGTTACAATGGTTGCAAGGGATTTGGACATTGCCCCCAATACTGTCAACAGTTAGCTCTTAGAATTGTCCTTAGATCTAACCTACTTACCAAATGCTTCCCAGGGTTTGAGATTTGCTTTTCCCGGGAAAATAACCTCCCTCAATCTTTGATATGCGCCATATGTGATGGCAGGGTTAACTACAAGTACTAAGCTTGCCTTGAGACCTCTCCAAAGTCCGGTCCAACCATCTTCGCTATTAATAACATCACGGGCTGTATCTATCATCCCTTTCCTCTCACCCTTTGCTTGTGTTTGTTGACGAGTGGTAACTACTGCAACAGGAATCGTAAAGATTTGAGCAATAGCTCCGGCAACAGCCCCTAAGGATAATTCTATCGCGGTGCTTGGGGGCGTAGCTAATTTCTGAGAAGAGAGATATAAGGTCCGAACGACTGAGTACCAGTAGAAATACGCAAAATTGGTCGAAGCAACACCAATCAAAGCGCCATTGATACCGGCATAAAGTCCACCAACCCCATCTTCAGCAGCAATCTTGGAAATGGCATCCCAAGTCGACGTATAATGGACAGGGTCATTACCCGTTGGTACTAAATCGGTCGGCTTGCGCTTAACCTGAACTTGGAGGCGGGTTTTCACTCTGGTAAAATTGAAATATTAGCTTTGAGATACCGGTGGTTCGTAGATATAATAGCAAACAATTACATACCGCCTTGCGAATGTGCACTCAAACAGGGATCAAAACTTACATATCCAGAGGATATACCATAGCATTTGCAATTACAGCTCCTGTAGCTCCAGCAACTGCCAAACCCCATGGCGGGATGATGGCTTCTTTCGATTGTCCGGCCATACTGAATATGTAGGATATACTGAAAGGGCTTTACTTTAAGATAGATAGGAGAGATATAGATGACCGAATTCAAAATTTCAAGGGGCAGCAAATGAACAAGCAATAATGGATGGGGAATCTGGGTATTATTAGGTAAAGGAATGGGTTCAGTGCAAGGTCCTTCTCATATCATATATGAGTTTTCAATAATTATGAGGACACAAAGTATTTAACGATACAAAATAAGGGAATATAGAATTGTAGAATTCTTGACAATACATATTCTTGCTTCATGGTTATCATGCATGAGGGTCGGAGTTTGGACAATCTTAAACCTCGGCTCGGATATTCTATTCTCTAGCCATGAGGGACGTGCATTTCCTTATCCATCATTCCACTGCTCCATGCCAAGAACTCTGTCATAGCACATCCCGACGAACATATTGATGATCTTGAGTATCACGTGGATTTACCATCTCTATATAATAGAACGGATGGGAAAGAGACGACCATTTGAACGCTTATGCTAATTATACTACTTGAAGTAAAGACACAGATTGATCTTCCGTACACTTCTTTCTCCGACTTCCGGTATATCCAGTCTCCTATAGCAGTCTGATAAGCCATATATCAGACGAACAAGTATTGCTGGGAGATATGGCTTGACATATATCACTCTCTAACTTTTTCATTCATATGCCGTTCGTTTCCGTCTCTACATTAATACACTTTTGGAAGACTGGACATAGCGATCATGGAAGCCAAAGCTCTTGTACGTCAAAACCCATCATTCCAATGGATGGAATATGTCATCCTGACATTGAGCCTAGCAAACGGAGTTGAGCATAGACAAGTGCAGCACTAGAGAGGAAGCTCTAAAAGTTGCTATCGCAGCTATTGAGTTATACATGAAGGCATCGAAGCAGGTAACTGGGGATGCAGAAAAGGCAAGGATCACGCGCAAGTGCAAGGCGTTGGTGGTGAAGGCGGAAGAGATTAAGAAGTCATCTACTTGGCCTTTGAAGCCATCTGCCATTTTCTCGGACGCCCCAGTGTCCGATCGAACTTTAAGCAAACATGAAGAAATCATTTTACTCGAGGGATCGAAATTACATGGATTCATTTTCCCACGTTGGACCTCTGAGCCTGATAATACGGTATTCGAAACATCCTCATATACGTACGTCGAGCCAAGATGGATAGGTTTTTATTTGGCCGCTTACTGACTCTGATAGAGATCCCTCGGAGCTAAAACTTTCCGAGGCTCAAATTGAAACCTTTGCAGGCTGGAAGAGGCCACACGAGAGGGATGATATCCCTTTCCAAAGGTTTCAAGACGTGGAAGACGCTTTGATGAATGCGTCTAAAGACATTGACCTTGTTCAGGACATAACTACGGATTGTTCAGTCGTAGCCAGTCTCTGTGCAGCGACGGCGCGGGCTGGAAAGGGTCACAGTAAGGTATATCTTAAATTTCCTTTCGACTATACTTCAAGCTACTAACTATGTCTAATAGGTACTAGCTACTATTCTACGTCCATTTGATGTAAAGAGTCAGAGGCCGAGGTCATCTAAAAATGGAAAATATGTTCTGCGTCTTCAGTTCAATGGTTGCTATAGAAGAGTAACAATAGACGATCGGCTGCCAGCTTCAAGTTCGGCACGGAATCTTCATGTTGTCGATAGAAACAATCCCATGTTACTATGGCCTGCATTAGTAGAAAAAGCATACTTGAAGGTCCGAGGCGGCTATGACTTTCCAGGCTCGAACTCTGGCACAGATTTATGGATAATGACTGGATGGATCCCTGAGCAAATATTTTTACAGAGGTACTATACACGCTTTTCTTAATTGTGAGCTATGCTGACTGAGTTGGCTTACCACAGTGATGAGATTCAATCTGAGTTGCTGTGGAAACGTATCTTTAAGTCCTTTGAGTTCGGTGATGTCATGATTACGTTGGGGACTGGTAAGCTGAGCAGAAGAGAGGAGGCTGATTTGGGCCTGGTTGGTGAGCATGACTACGCGATTCTGGACATGAGAGAACCTGGATCTCAACGATTATTACTCGTCAAAAATCCTTGGTGCGATGGCATGGCTTGGAAAGGACCCAGACGCAGACCAGCCGGGGAAGAATCAGAAGGGACTACTTGGACAGGAGACCTCCGACAATCACTCGAGGAGACTGGCGGCCAGAACAGCTCTACAAAACCAGGGACTTTTTGGATGGCTTTAGAGGATGTAATACAAAATTTCGAATCCTTGTACCTCAATTGGAATCCTGGACTTTTTCGTTATAGGCAGGATCATCATCTTTCCTGGACTATCCCGCATGTCAACACCATCGGGACATTTACTCAAAACCCACAATACGTTGTCCAGTCCTCTCGAGGAGAAACTATTTGGGTACTACTTAGCCGGCATTTCCTCACAGAAGAACACGATATTGCTCAAGGTTCAAGCACGCAAAGCATCGCATCAAGTTCCCTCGGCTTCATCAGTCTCTACGTCTTTGACGCCTCCGGCCACCGCGTCTACTTGAGCGATGGCGCTCTCCACCGCGGTGCCTACGTTGATTCTCCCCAAACTCTTGCTCGTTTCGAACTTCCCGCAAACACACCTTACACTGTCGTAGCCGCCCAGCAGAATCTCCCACTTCCAAAATACTCCTTTTCATTTTCCTTCTTCTCCCGCTTCCCTCTTAATATCCATTCCGCCCCCGACAGCTTCACCTTCAGCACCTCCAACAACGGTTCCTGGACCACCCGCACAGCAGGCGGCAACGCCAGCTCACCCTCCTACCCTTCCAACCCTCAATTCAGCATTTCCGTCCAAGAACCCACAGACATGATGCTTGTGCTCGAAGCCGACAGAGAAGACATCGCCGTCCACGTAACCATGATATGGGCCAACGGCGAACGCGTCACGGTAATAAACTCCCGCGACATAGTCGGCGGATCTGGCGACTATCGACGCGGCTGCGCCCTTGCCGAACTACGTAACGTTGCCGCAGGAAAATACACAATCGTATGCTCCACCTTCCAGGCCGGCGAAACGGGAAACTTCATCCTGCGCGTCAAATCATCCAAGCGCTGTGAGATCCGACCTGTCCTCGCCGAAACAGCCGGACGTCTCGTAACGCGCTTACCGACCCTCATCTTCCAAGAAGGTATCGACAGAATGTTAGCACCCGTAACCGTCACCCGCCTAACCCGTCTAAGATTCGTCGCAAAAGCAGGAAACAGCGTCAATCGACCCACCCCCTCCAAATCCCGACCAGGTCTCCGATTAAGCATAGAACAAGGTCAAGGACCTAATAAAACCCTCCTTGAATCTTCCTGCGATGGAGAATTCAGCGATGCTCCTGCGGGTATTCGTACTTCCGATCGAGATATCTCGCCGGATATGATGCTCAAGGGGGGGATTTGGGTAGTGCTTGAGCGGTTGGGTGGAAGATTGGGTTTTGATGATGTTTGCGTGGAAGCGTTGAGTGATTCTCAGGTTTCTATTGGGGTTTGGGGGACGGGTGATGGGTGATGGGTGATGGGTGATGGGTGATGGGTGATGGGTGATAGGGTAGTCGTAGTGGAAGTTTGATATATGAATTCTATCTTTGCGGATGATTAATGTCATTGTAAATATCAATATCAATATCAATATCAATATAAAAGTAGAGCATCAGCTCCCCCGCACCAAGAATACACTCAGTATAAGTATAAGATAAGATAAGTAAGATAAAGTACCTAGGTAGGTAGATAGATAGATAGATAGATAGATAGTAATTATAGACAAGTAATGGAACAAGACTATTTATATATTTATATATATATTCACTCAACCCCTTACCCTACCCTACTATGAAACATGAAGGATTGATTGGTGATTCGGCTTCACAAGTAACACAAGTAAATAAGTAACCTTTTTACTGGCTGGTATCAAGAATGCTCCGGAACTCTGAACTCTGAACTCTGAACTCTGAACTCTGAAACTCTGAAACTCCAAACTCCATGCATAAAAAGTCGTTGAAAAATTTCGGTTTCCGGCTCCCGTAAATCATGGAAAAGAACCCCCCTTCCGTCCCGTCCCTGTCCTGTCCTGTCCTGTCCGGTCCTGTCCTGCCTTGCCATCCCAATCAAATATGAAACAAAGAAAAATACACTCCCGCTTATGACTGCAATTGCCGTCGCCGTGTTGTGAGAGAATGTCCGACCGACCGACCGACCCTTATATAGATAGCGTTTTACCATGAATATAAAACCTCCTATCGACTACCACCTCTACGCCGTCTTCCTCTACTAGGACCCTCTGGTCTTTGCGCAAGTACTTCTCTCAGTTGCGGATCATCTTTATCTTTATCTGTATGATGCACCCTGACGTGCCTGTTAAGAAGATGAGAGGTTAGAAAAGAGGATCAAAGCTTCGGGAACGACATGATTATTCCAGAGTGAAGGACTTTGTTGTTGGCTACAGTGAATATATAAATAAATCTACGTACCTTTGGAGATTATCCGGTCTGGGGTACCTGTGTTCTCTTTCCGGACAGAAGGGACACACGTAGCCTGGGGAATCGTGAACGAGGCCATGTCTGATCATTTCATTTTTTCGTTTAAATCCCTTTCCACCTTCGGCTCGAGGGCATCCCTTGACCGTGCAATAGTGCGGTCGATTTGAGGAGTGTACATTTGCATGAGAATTAAGCAAATACTACAGTTGTTATTTATTAGCACTTGGGATTGAGTTGATTTTTTTTACATGCGAGAATCTATCCAACTTTGCCGTACCTGTGTTTGAAAAGGAGCTGCAGTACAGCCAGCATAATTGCACTGATAACCGCCCACTTGTGGATTCGTAATACCATCAATACTCATACGATCTATTGCCGCTGCGGCAGGAGTCGAGCCAGATTGATCTGTACTTGGAGTTTCAGTATTGCTACTGCTGCTATACTCCCCAGAAGCTACATGTTGGGGTCCATTTGACTGTGAAGCTCTACGGAGGCTGTTTGTCATAAATTGATATGGTGGTATCCCCGGAGATACCATATCTCCACGGGGATCATTCGGAGATTTGCCTGGTGATGTTGCTCTAGGCCCAGGTGTGAACCGTGAAATTGTTCTTCCCGGAGAATGGGAGTATGATGTATCATTTGGAGTGGTTATTGATTCTGCAAAATTTCCAAAACTTCCCAATTGCTCACTTAGGGATGGTAATGTAATCTGTTGACTTCCATTGCCATTTGAGGCGCCTGACTGAGGAGAATGGCGCATGGGTGGAAGTTCACCGGTGGCCGGGGCAGATTGAGTTTCCACTTTGATATTCACTTCTACCTTAGCCCTTGGATATGGGTCAAGGGAACGGGGTAAATATTTGATTGCAGCTGTAGAGTTCCGCGCTTGTGCGTTTGCATTGGCATTTGCGAGCACCTTACAAGCTGCGACAGCTTCACCAGTGGAGCCTACTGACTCATTCAAATACTCAGGATATTTGCGATCCAATATATCAACCGCATCGGCTGCCATTTTCTTAATATCAAGGTCGGCTGGCCCGTGGGAGAAATTATGACCGGGGACTTCCACGGCAGTGCCTCTGACGGGACTTTCCTCGTCCTCGTCCTCATCGGAAGGTAAAGCCTCAATCCCCGCCTTCTGCTCAATGTCTGGATGATTTCCTCCTGACATATGCCGAATCAGCACGGCAACCCCCTGACAAGGCCAATTGTCTGATCGTTTGGCGCCTTTGCGACCACCGGGCCCGGATCCAGGACTGATAAGAGGTGTAAGATGAATCTCCGGGGGAGGAGAAGGTCTGATATTGATATGCACCGGCTTTAATCTAGGACTATCGTGCGGGCCAACGTCATCGGGATCAAAGTAGGTATCTGCGCTGTCGGTCATAATTCCATAGATGCACTAAACGTATCGCATACATTGGATTGTGAAGCAGATATTCATAGCATACGAGACAAGCAGATTGACCTGAGAGCAGCAGATAACAGCGCGGGACAATTCGAATAGTATTGCATGAATAACTTGGCCACGGAATTGGCGACAAAATTGTAGAGGATGAGTGAGGGGTTTAGGATCGAATCGGCTATGATTTCTATTTCGTTTCGTTACTGCGGAGAATAATTGGCTTGCGAAAATGATGCGCAGAGATTCTTGACGGTTGCTTGCTGCGTCCCAGGAATAATAGCTCGGAATTGAGTGAGAACTAGTAATGTTGCATGCCGACGTCGATAATAATAAAGGTCCTTACTAGTAATATACACAGTCGAAATGCAAATGATTTAATAACCGTATAAAAAATGGCTGCAGCTTGTGTTTGGAGTGAATGGTAGAAGTGAGGAGTGAGGTCTAGAAAGGTGTAGATGATCCGAGGGATCTGCCCGCGAGGTACCTTGCCTTGATTACTCTGCGAGATGACCGAGTAGTAGTAGTAATAATAATAAGCGTAATCGGGAGCTTCAGATAGAGGAGAGAGAGAGAGAGAGAGAGAGATATATATATATATATATATATATATAATTTTATAGTTTTCTTTAAAAATTTAAATAGGGTTTATTGGTAATGAAATTGTACCGAATATCCTTCAAACATAAAAGGTTATTAAATATAGAAGAAATGAGGTTGATGGAGAGAGTTCTATGAATTACTAAGAAAGAGGTCGAGGTAGACAAGACGAGATAGGACAGGCCAGAGAGTAGCGGTAAACTCCTTCCCCAGGAAATAAAAAAGAGGGGAGATTTTGACTCAAAAGTTTCGCTTTATTTGGCGTGTGAGAGGGAAGGACTCTTGGACGGGTATGTGTTGTGTGTTATGTGTGGATAGAGAAAGGGAATGGATATGGAACTGGAACTGGAACTGGAACTGGAAATGGAAATGGAACTGGAATATGGATAAGGATATTCTTGGACAAGGTGCTTCATGTTGGATTTGGACAAAATAGACCGGACTAGTAGAGTACAGCGTAAGTGCTCAGTGCTGTACATTAGCCATACATATATATTACTGGGCCAGCATCTGCACGATGACCAGCAAAACAGTTTCCCTCAACATCCTGAGTATTTATCTGTCGCCGGTCACCACTCCTGTTGAGATTATTTGTTAGAGAGGAGAGTCAAGCATGGGTAATAGAAAGTATGACACGTGCATAGCCAAGTACATGTAGAGTATATATATATATATATATATATATATATATACACATTTATGCATATTTATGATGTTTTTCGCATTAGGTACCTATATATACATATACATATATATCCAAGAATTCCAAAGCACAGCTAGTCAAGTCCATTCATGATGAATATCAACGTCCGGTGGAAGACAATACCTCCCCTCCCCAGCCTGTAATACCCCATCCCGGCTGCACCGAACGATATCGATAATCGACAGCAAAAACATTGGCAAAGAAAGTCTTTTAGTCAATACAGACATACATACAAGTCAAGTTAGTTGATCGCTGTGTCAACATGATGTACCTCACGCAAGATAGGCGTGGTGTATTTTGTGTGGTGTTTGTGTGGCTTATCCTCATAGGTGGGCGTGGTAGCATCACTACTTTCGCCGCCAAAAAGCGCCGCATGGTAGGTAGATAATCTCAGTACTGGTATCTACTTGCATTGTATCTACTTGTATTGTATTGTACTGTACTGTACTCGAGTATTTGTTTCCGAAACACGTTTATGTGTGTGTGTGTCTATAATCGATCTCATATCATATATCATTCGTGACCATCTTCAAGTTTGGATTCGCCAGTAAGTGAATGAATGAATGAATGAATGAATATAAGTCGTAATTATACAATAAGCAGTGATACGATGAATAGCTTCCTTATGTTCTTACTTGATAGATTATTATTATTATTATTATTATTGTTATTATTATTATTATCATCATTATCATCATTGTCATTATTATCATTATTATTATTATTATTATTAGAACCTTTCCATTAGAAAGATACAATACCACTCTACTCTGTACGTGCAGCTAGGAATTAACGGCTGTTCTGAAGAAGAAAGGAGGCTGCACCGGTACTTTTACTTTATTGCACAAGGGGATCATATCATAGTGGATGTTATGCGCGTGAGGGGCCACAAATGAAAATACTCTACTGCACCAGGTTTGAATTGAGCCAACAGCAAGCATCATTGTCATACAGAGACGAATAAGATGGATGAGATGGATGAGATGGATGTTGATATTATTCATAGTTGCATTGAGAATTCAAAACTACTTTCTCACTCAGCACACTATCTATCCCATCTCGTCTTATCCATGCCATACAATCCTATACTCTATCATACTCTATCATACCATATCATACCATACATACATACCATACATACCATACATACCATACATACATACCATACCATTTTCTCATCTCCTACTCATTCATCCGTTCAAGTGCTCAAATGCTCAAATGCTCAAATGCTCAAATGCTCAAATGCTCAAATGCTCACTCACCCACCCACTCTACTCGCCCCTAAACAATCCAATCCATCTCGCCATAACACTCACCAAACTCTATTCCACACCCATCCATGATCCATCCATCCATCCATCCTCCGAAGATCGAATATACCTCTCACCAAAACAACCTAAACCATCAACCCTCCACTCTCCCATCCAGCAACCAGCCAGCAGCCACACAAACTGACAAGTGACAAAACACAACTATCACAAAAAAAGAATCTAAAAAAAAAATCTAAAAAAAATCTATCAGACTAACCCCGCACCACAATCCAACCCAACCCAAGCCATCCATGGACCATGATCCATCCATCCCATGGCATCCCCGAAATCCACCCAAACCCCTACCTACCATCCATGCATTCATCCATCAATTCGGCGTTCGCGTTCACCCTCACCCTCACCCTCACCCTCACCCTCCCACTCTTCACTCTTCACAGCACAGTACAGGCTGTACAGCACAGGCAGGGTCGTTAGTAACTCAGGGTAAGATGTCAGATGTAAGCTATGTAAGCTATGTAAGCTATGTAAGCTAAGACGTACTCTGTACTGTACTTATACATAAGATGCGGCTAAAAGCAAAAGATGACTTAGGTGAGCCTCACCGCACGACCATTGGTCCATTGATTGGTTCAGTCGGTCCAATCCAAACCATCACATCAAATCTGCAGCAAAATCAATCTACAACGAATTCTCCAGTCCGGTCCAGGAAACGTCGGACGAGCCATTATTTCCCATTTCCTATCCTCGTAGAAAGAAAGAAAGGCTACTCACGGCAGTACTCCGTACTCCGGACGTAGCATAGCATAGCAGAGTATTAGCAGAGTATTAGCATTCTTCGGTCCATTTACCGATATTCAACCAAATTCGATCCGATACGATACGATACGATATGATTTTATTTCCTCTCCGTATAGAGTACCTACACGGAGATGGAGATTAGATATCGAGTACTGTGCCTAGGTAAGTAAGTAATCCGGTCGTTCTCATTCATGGTTTCGTGTATGTGTATATATAGATTTTCATTGTAATTTTACGAAATAGAGCTCATCAATATATATATATATATATATATATATATATACGAGTATAATACATACACACAGATAAGATATACATACATACATACATACATACATACATACATACATACTCAACACCAGTTACAAACCCAATAAATAAACAGGATATCATATCAATCAATGAACTCAATTCAATTCAACTTAACTCAAGTTCCCTCAATATATCAAACTACCTTCTCTATCTAGATAGAATACCTACCTACTACACTTAATTCTCCATCCTCCATCATGGAATACCTACCTATCTACCTATCTACCCACCTACCTACCCACCTACCTACCCACCTACCTACCTAAGTAATTATCCAAAACTCAAATTCTCAATTCTCCATTCTCCAATTCTCAATCCCCAACCCAAAAAATTCCACCCCATCACACCCCATCATTCATTCCTCCCAATATACTCTGCTCCCAAAACACCCCATCCCAAAACACCCCATCCTAAAACACCCCATCCCAAAACACCCCATCCCAATACTCTCCGCCCGTATAAATCAATTCAAAATTCAAAAATTCAAAATCCCAATCTGCCAAACTCACAAATCGCTCGCCGCCATCCTAGAAATGCGAAACCTCTTGTACTATACTCTACGGGTACTGTAATTTGAGGCGACGCTGTAGATAGCCGAGAACCGCCTAATCTGGGTCAATCAGGTCAGCTGCGCTGCAGGCGAAAAATACCTGCCTGCCTGCATTGAGCTTGGGGGTAATGTACGGAGTACGGAGGAGCACCGGTGGAGTAATGAGGCTAAAGTTTTGATTGAGCTTGTCACGTTCTAATTCGTGCAGATATATCTTGTATATGTGGCTATATGTATATATGTATATATTTAAATAGAAGTATACATTTAAATATACATATTATCTTTCAACATTTCGCAATTTGACTTTATAAGCTTACATGCATATGAACCCTGAACGCCATCTGCGCCTGCAACCAATGCTCCAACCAACCAACCAACCGTGATTAGCCGATACTGCCAAAATGCGTGCATATCTTTCAATTGCAATTTATCGATATAGATTGAAGAAGATTAAAAAATATAACCTCTCTGTCTCTTTCATCTGTTGTTCTCCCGAGCAAAATCCTCATTCGATCATCCTATGCACAGAACCTCATTTTAGCTCTTAAAGCATTTACAAATGTTCAATGGGTTCTTCTCTAGATCAAAAAGTCAGTAATTGCCTTATCAAAGAAAACTCATGTGCACCACGAAGAAGATTCAAAAGATGAAGCTTTCAGTCGAATTCTAAAACCAGAATGTGTGATATGTAAAAACTGGTTAAACTTACGGCAAGAGCTCATCAACATCACGTACAATGCATGATTTCATAGGAGGTCGGACAAGGTCGTTGAACAGGAAGGTGCCGTAAACGAGCAATACGAATCCAAGAACCTGCAACCACTTGAACGTTTCCCAGCCCAAGAATAGTGATACGACCCAGATAAAAAGCGTACGGCAAGTGTCGATGGTGGATCTCGATGTGGCACTAACTGTTCTCGTTACAGAAAGTCCAAAGAAATTGAATCCACTGAACGAGTTAGCTAGAAATAATAGGCAGATACAAAGGAGACTTACCCAATGCTGATCATAATAAGTACACTTGAAACTCGAATGGCTTTGTAATGCGTAACTTGTCTCCATCCTTCAACAAGATCAAAGTATCCATATCTTCCTGCTGCAGTTCTACCGACTGCAAGATGGAGAATGACCATACCGATAACCGTGACCCCAAACCCGAAGAGGCCTTCCCATCCAACAACTTTAAGGGGTTCCAGCGCATAATTTTCTAGAATGTATTCCTCCAAGACAAATTGAGAAGCGGTAAAGATCTGAGCGCCAGCTATCAGAAATACACCAATTATGGCGCGCAGGGCTTCTGGCGTTCTTGCCTCCCTAGCTACTAATTTGAGTGCTTCATGGGCGAGCGCTATTGAGGACGGTGCAGCTTTGTCATCCTTGTAAAGGGCCCCAGCCATACCAACAATAGCGACTCCAAGGACAACGGTCACCAAAGCGAACCATTGAAATAAGTGAAGTCTTCTTTTCAGAAAGACTACACTGAAGACTCCAACAAAGAGCACCAAAGCCCCTCGCGTCATTTGATAAATCGAGGGCACTACAAACAAAAGACCGACGTTCACTGTGAATAGATATTAGAAAATATGATGGCAATTTTCCCTGTGTTGCCCCGAATGCAAACGACGGAATCGCCTGGAATGCCAGTTACTCACTCAAAGTCGTTCCACAGATATCACAGATAGCAGGCAAGGCTAACAGTAGCACTCTCCACCCCGTCAACGGTATTCTGTCCTCCGCATTCATTGCCAACGACTTTGCAGTAGAGCTTGACATGATACTGGCGCCGTCATTATCCGCGGCCTCTTCTTCATGTGTATCAACTGCTTCATAACCATCCTCTTCGGGCTTTGGGTTCTTTGCGACATAGCGGTTGTAAAGAGAGAATGCGCCGACGAAGAGCCAGCAGCCCATCTCTCCGATAAACATTTGGGCCGTCTGTATCACTGGTTGCTCGAATAGTGCTTGTTTCTTAGGATTGGGGTCGTCGCAATTCCGGACGCAAACATTGTCCTGGATGATAATCAGCAGAGAAAAATGACAAATGTGGATGATATACTGACTTGATACTTGGTGAGAAGTGTATTGCACACACCAGTCACCAACATCATGGCCACCAGGAACGGTATGAGGACCTTCGGATTGATGGGCATCTTGATGGTCAGTGATGAACAGAAGGGCGGATGAGTATGTGTAATCTAGGTCCCGGTAACCATCTATGTTAACCAAATAATGAATACTCAGAGAATGGCATCCACAAAACTATCCCGCTGGTTTTGCAATGAGGTTGGTATTTAATGAGAATCGTAATTGAATCTGATGTATTTGCAGTTGTATAATGCGGTGGTTGACGTTTGTAACTCTTTGTCGCGTTATCTATTGGGGCACGGATTAGGAGGAGCCAGGGGAGGGAAGGGAGACCTGCAGGCAGGCGGTGAGACTTGTCGAAATGTCACACCAAGGGTTGTCATCACAAGACCCATTCATTTCCTTCCTGACTCAGACCACCAGGACTCAAGTCATATATGTCATATTTGTCACAAAAGTCGATAAATATTGGCTCAATAATATATTATGTATATCACATATAAATCATCACACCTTATGTGCACTTTCATAAGTACCTAGGTAGGTGTATTTACATATACCTAGTGTGTCATACCAATTTCAAGGAATCACTATATGCGAAAAATGTTCGGTCGTTCAACGTCTATTTACTGAAGGAGAGAAGATGTCTTTTTTTGTTCCGTGATGCGTCTTAAATCATGATCTACGAATGTACAGTCGCCCATAAACCCTCTCATCCCAGGGGCCGTGTCGTTTATACATCGTATCTGGGTCGTAAAACGTAGACACGTAAGTGCTAACATGCTAATTCCGCAGCCAAATAAAGGAAAGTGGCAATTGATAATTGAGTGTTGATACATTGGTTGAAGAAGTAAATCGTGATAACTCTTACGCCGGCCAATGCTAATCTTTAAATTTTGTACTCCGACCCCATGCCTTATTTGCCAGCAGCGGCAGCGGCACCACCTCGTCTTTTTGGATTGCTACGTGCAGGTCGTTTCTTGTTTTTGTTGGCTTGATCGCTTCCCTCGATGAACTTGAGGAGCTCATCAATGCTTCGCGAATCGAGTCCTCTAGATGAACGAGAGTCTCGGCCAGCTGCAGCCTCGGCGGTTTGACCAACTTGGGGCTGAAGTTGAGTCTGTCCGAGGGTGACACGAGGAGAGACTCGAATACCAGCCCGGTTCCTTCGAGCTTGAACATCCTTGGCGTGTTTAGCAATCGACACTGCATTTTGGGTGAGCTGCTCAAGCCATTTCTCTGCTTCCTTGGTGTTCTTGTCTTCCGCACCTAATTCGGTAAGGAAGATATTGTACGACTCACGCATACGATTCACAGCAGACTTAGAGTCTTGATCCAATGCTAAAGCCTGAGCCAATTGGAAAAGTAGAGTTGCAGCATTAATAGAGTGCTTTCCGTACACCTCCTCGCAAATTTTTAAGGATGCCTCGAACCACGTGCGAGAATCATGGTATTCCTTCAAATGCTGCAGCATGACAGCCGCATTATTAATTGTGGTGATAGAGTCAGGATGGTTTGGACCATAGACAACCTTCCATAAATTTAAAGCGTGCTTGATGTAAGTAAGAGCCAACTTTGTCTCTCCACTTGCATGTGCAATGAGTCCAAGATTGAGATAGTTCAAAAGTGTCTCAGCATTATCAACGCCTAATGTTCTCTCAGAAACAATAACAGCCTTGCGCGCAAGTTCCATAGCAGCCTCCTTCTCGTCGAGTTGGTAATAGAGCATTGATAACGAGTTGTATACTCTCGCCACCTCAGGGTGAAGAATGCCATAAATTTGTTCATGCAAGGACAAAGATTCTAACAATAATTCCTGTCCTAGCTTCTTTTGGTCTTGAAGGAGAGAGATGCGTCCAGCTTCCAAAGCTTCTTCTGCAAGCGAACTCCTTGGGGATGCCTCTTTGATTACTGGTACAGTGTTGAGGATATCATCTGGGTTGAAGGTGACGGGAGATGAAGCATTCGCTGACGTAATAGATGCAGGAGAACCTTCACGAGCATTCTTCTTCTTCTTCTTGCCATTAGTGCTCTTTCCAGTAGGGGCCGCATCCTTTGTAGCCTCGCCATTAGTCGTTGGTGGAGCAGCCGCAGCTTCAGTTTGCGACTGTTTTGTGAAATGGTAAGGTTTCATCTCCAATTGAATACCAAGCTTCAGAGAGACTTCGCGGAGAAGTTGCAAATGTTTGATGGCCGCGGTCCAAGTTGAGTCGAGTGTGTATCGGAAGCGACGTAAAATCTGAGCTTCAATCTCAATTTTGAGACTTTCGGGCGAGACTTCTTTGAATTTCAAATCTGCGTCAGGATAAAGTGCAGCCATGGCCTCATCCACGTCTGGTTTTGGAGCTGGGTTCAAGTCTGTGCCGAGCAAGCAATTGAGGAGATGAGCAATACATGAGCTTGTCAAAGGAATGGGAAGATAACGGAGATAGTTGCCAGCGACATGCTTGAATGCTCTTGACACCATCTCCTGGACTGCTAAGATGCGTAGAGATTCGAGTCTCTTTCCATCCGCAAGAGTTGCAACTTGGCCAAGGTATCGGATGTTGATACCACGTTTATGAAGGAGTCTACTTAAAGATTGACCATCCATAGGGAATCCAACATCACCTTCCTTGAGATCATTTACAAGTTCGGGTAACACCGTCTTGCGAAGGAATTCACAGACTAGTCGCACTTGCTGTTCATCCTCAGCAAACTCGGCCTTTTCCTCATCGGTCTGTGGCTGTTGACCACTAAAAGCATCCGGATTCAATGCAAACTTGAAATCACCAATATCAATTCTTTCCTGATCAGCTGCAGGCTTGCTAGGTTCTGTGTCTTTGTCCGAATCGTCTGCTTTTTCCGCTAATTCACCGCTCTCGGTTGGCTCTTCGCTTTTAGATGCCTCAGATGCCTCAACTACAGCTTCAGTCTCCTTCTCTTCGGCAGTAGGCTCAATTGTCTTCTGCGATTGGCGCTTACGTTCCAGTTCACCGTTTACCCATTCACGCATCTTGACCTTCCAGTAAGCTTCGACTAGCTCAGGTCTGATGACTGTCATGCGATGTGGATATGCAGATTCACTTGCTGCACCGGAATCCTTGGGGCTATCGAGTGCGGTACCAACTTCCTCCATCCAAGTAATATCCAATGGCGTAACCCTGTACAAGTCAAGAACGTATTTTCTTCCGTCAGTACCTAGAAGACCCTTGGTTTCGATACTTCCTTCGAGGTCATGACGCTTTCCATCTTTGTCCCAAACAGCATGCTTTTTTACTTTCAAGGCCTTGGACAGCTTCTCAAAAACAGACACAAACTTCTCATCTGATGCGACTATGTCCTTGCCATCCACAGCGCCATAGTCAATTTGGTTCTCGCCTGGGTCACGTTGTTTGAAGATCCCTGGCACAATACTTTGTCCAACGATACGCTTTCCAAGGTAGTCGACAACTACGGTACCTGGTGTAAAAAGTCCGTCAATGTCCAATTGGTTAACCATGCGAACTCCCACTACATCCTTGCCTACCGCTGCTCTAGCGGCCTCATCACCACCCTCTGAGGCAAAGGTGCCCACTCCGTCGGCTCCAAAGGAGAAGAAAACGTTATTGTAAACGAAAATTTGAGCATCTTTGCCTTCAGTTGGGTTGAGTGGGGCTATTTCACCTCTAGCAACCAGGATCGCACCACGAGCAGCTGCATCGTTATAATCGGCGAATAACTTCGAGGTTAATCGCTCCCGGAAGACACGATCCTGGACGGTTTCCTTTGGAAGCTCTCTAGTAGACTGAAATTCTTCATTCCAATCTCGCAAGGTTTCGCTATTCTCAATACCAGCGATGAGATAATTTTCTTGGGTGCGCGTGATATCCGCTTGGTGCACAACAAGGGGTGCTGATGCCGATGGCACAATCCATGGGTTCGAGGGAGTTGCGTTCGTGATTTGGAATGTAGCCAAAGGTTCCTTGGTATTGTTGTACTCCTGAAGACGCTTGAAAGAGTCTTCAAATGATGGAGATAAGTCACCAAAAAGTGCTAAAAGTGAGTGCGCAGAATGGGCTTTTGGCGCAGATTTTGGAGATGGATCGAATTTTCCCGTTGAAGATTTATTCACGTAAAAGCCAGATACGTGAGATGTGATTTGGAATTGCTCCCCCTCGTTTGTAGTAACCTGTAGATAGAGCAGATGCCCCTTCTGCCTAAGATGGTACGGCGGAGGGTTCCAAGGAGAGACCGAAATTGACTTGATAGTTTTTGGACCTGGCTCTTGTGCTTTTGGAAGGAGCGTGGAGAGAGAGCCGGAAGCTTGGAAATCAAATCCAACCATTGGATGTGAAGGGGCCGTGCTTGTTCCATCTTGTGTTGATTCTGCTGATGTAACTGAATCAAGCAATGACACTCCTGAGATAATACCATTCAACGTATCGGTACGATCCCCGGCCGCACCAATCAGCTCCCGAACTCTGACGATGTGTATCCTCGCTTCCTTCTCTGTATATGGATCTTCGACCAAATGGATTTCTGAATCTGCCGTTAACCCAGGGACCTCGGAAATCTGAACGAAGTCGTTTATCCTCTCCCCTTTATGCTCGAGATGGAAACATGAGTACTGGAAGGTTCCGGGAAGCTCGATTATTGATTGACGGACATCGTGTATAGCTTCTTGGGAAGAAACCTAGCTATTTGAGCATTGAGCCAATAAGTGTGGTGAGGGGTCACTCACGATGATTGGAATTTTATGGGGCTCGCGGGGAAGAACCACGGTCAATTGAAAGACTTTGTTCTCACATTAGCATAAATTCTACACCAAGTTTTTAAACTGCCAACTCATCTTACCTTCGCCACCAGCTTCCCCACTATCCTCCTCCTCATGGTCAACGCCATTAGCTAAGGCAGTTTCTTCAGTGGCAAGCTTTTGCGAGCTCCCTGAAACATCCGAAGGGTTTTCTAAATACACTGAATGTCAGTAGATGACTAATAATAGGGCACACATTGAATTGAAAAGATCAATTGGAGAATTTTTTGCGTAAATATGAATTTGGAAGTGCCCAAAATGTTTTGAGTTGGTCAAGATGCTTACCAGAAGTTGGAATAACCTCATTCGTTGCAGCCATTTTGTACCGTAAAGCTCTCTAAAGTATAATACAATGATGACGAGAGGAGAAGACACAAATAAGTATTCCAAACACGAAAATGCAGGAATTCAAAAAGCACTTCGTTGAGGTTGTTGTACAGATTTCGAAGTGGTAGAAAGAAAAGAAAAAAAAACCCCTCCTGTGCGTATGGACGTATGGATGGGTAGGATATGCAGTGAAGAATAAAATTATTCGATTTTCTATTTTTCTCCAAATCCAATGAGGAAAGTACAAAACTTAGATTGAGCACACGGAAAAACCCGGCCCGTATGGACGACACATATGACAAGGTGCCCAAGTGACAATCCTTGTTGACATCACCAACTTGATTGTTTGTTTACTTTCAATTCTCAAAAAACATCGATATCAACAAATATCACAACATAACATGATAATTCGCATACCGTTCTATTGCACGCAACTCTTAATTTCCTTTGCTTTTCTTTCCATGAATTATTGCTTCTTACTTACCAACATTGGAACAGCCCAAACAGACTTCCATTCTTTTGCTTACTTGCTATGATAGTTGCTATTCTGTTTACGGATACTGCGCAGAAATTGGTTGATGCGTTAAACTCAAAATAAGCAGTTGGTTCACATTTATTCAGAGGGGCTTCCAAATACTGATGACATGAAGTTCGGATGAATATCATGGAGCATGAAGGGTTGAAAACTATCTCAGAGAGTTTCACTCCAGTGCGACGCAAAGAATCAACATTGAATGATGGGAGGTTTGGTCGGGATGCTGAGAAGGAATGGACTGCAGCTCGGTGTAATCGATTACTACGACCTTTGACTTCTCGAATTGCAATTTTATGTAAGGCTAAACAGGACTCTCTTAATTGTATGAAAGTTCAATCTAAAAAGGGCAAATGGGCTTCTGATCCAAACATTGACACACCAGGCAAGGAGATTACCAATAATAATGCAGGCTGGGTTGGGCGGAAGAGAGTTAAAAGGAAATACTCTGGAAGGGCAGGTACCAAAAGACCGGAGCAACCTATTGCCAATGCAGAACCTTTTGTCAAAGTAGCCTCGAATGGCAGAGGCTCATCGTCATCGGTCCCTGGAGAAATTGTGGTTCCAACGCCATTACTCAACCGAGCCTGGAGAAAATCCGCTTCACCATATCGCGCAATACCCTACAAAGGAAATGCTCCCGAGCATTGCCAACAAATGAGCATAGATTCGGTTTCTGATAGGCAAACTAAAGCTCGAGTTTTAGGGGCCAGCAAGACGCACACTACAGGATCGCAAGCATTATGCAAAATTCGCAATACGATGAGTCCTGCTCGCTTCAATATCTATGAAGGTATTTATAATGGTCTCGAAGGATTACTCAGGGCAACCCATCCTATTGCACCAAAAGGTCATGAAAAGGGACCTAAGTCATTACTATCCCTGTGTCTCGCAACAGTGCCAAAATACATTACCATGGAGGAGAAGTTATTATATAGTGAGATTGAAAGAGTAGGGTCCTATTCGGCCATCGAGAAGAGGGATATCTCTACAGAAATTTATGATGACCTCGAGTTGTTTGGTTCATGTGGTCGCGGTTGGAAACATCTTCAAAGTGTAGTCCGATCGCATGGTGTTCAAATGATTCGTGATGCGATTTTGGGAGATCTTTTGGAATATAAATTCTGTGAAATACTCGTCGATCTTTGTATATATTCAGGGCATCACGAAGAAGCAGAACTAATACTATCAAGTCTACTTTCAGCATACAAGTTTCCTGCCCCATACAGAAGTTTTTCAGATCATGTCTCACATGGGCCACTATCGAAAATTCGAAAATTCGTCGAAGTCACGAATCGTACCTGGTATGAATATCGACAAATCTCTATCTTAATTAAAAATGGAACTCTTCCGCTTCCTTGGGTAGCAACTGCAGCCTTTACTCCCATTTGGAATGGTTTGATGCAGGACCTATTGTTGGATCATGCGAGAGCAGATGCTGCGATGTTCATGAATACTGTCCTGCCATGTCTTGTGGAATATTTGTCATCATCTGATTTCTCGTCGGATGCGGACCTCTATAAGATGTGCAGATCTACATTATTAACCGTGCTGACAACAATCTCATCTATCATCCTGCTCGGCAGAGGTGAGGAAGGATTTGGAGCCGCACACGAGTGGAGAATGTCTGAATCCATGTCCGACAATGAAATTGTAGGACGCCAGCCGGTGGCAGCCGACAGCCCTTTAGGGTCTCTGACAACACATAAGATAAGAGATTCTAATCGCACCGCCACGATTAGCGACACTCATTCAAAGCTTTTGAAGGACTGCGTGAGACTCATAAGGCGTAATACTAAGGAGACTGATTTACAAAGTACCATTTTACTTTTGGCATGTTTAGTGACGGAGCCTAATGCAGAGGATATTTCAGATCTCATCATTGATACTTTGTGTCTAATGTATGAAGAAGACACAGATGATGAAAATCTAAGTGCTGAAATTCCTTCTCGGCTCGCCCATAAGACTTTGTACAATGAGGCTGTGAGCTTCTTATCTTCTGTGGCTCGTTGCTGTGGTAAAGGGGCCTCTACCTCCGGGTTTGAATATCTTCAATACATACATTGGAGGCTCAAGATGGTTACTGCGGGTAGACGCTCGAAGGCCATGACTATTTGGCATGGAATTATCGTGGATAGCGCATTTGCTTTCGCCCAAGCAACACCGGGCCAAAAATATCTTGACTACGCGGATTCTTTGGATGGCGAGCTTCATGCTGAAAGCTCGAAAAGACCTGGCGGGGCGAGGAAAGAGGCTTACCACGAACCAGCAGCTTTTCGGTGGGAAGAGGGTATCAGCTCCTGGGTAACAGCAACGCCTGCTATCAATAACAGCAAATTCAAGATTATACCTATAAACTTTCAGAGTGACGAGGCCGAGTTTGAATCACCTTCTTCGGCCCGCTCACAACGGCCTGTGCAATTAACTCGAGGGACTAAGAGGAAATGCGATGACAATAAACACGACCAACCTGTTGAGCCAGAGACGAAACTAACGTCAAGGTGTCAAAAGAGAGCACGCGGACAGAAGGCTGCTACTTTCAATGTCTGGAATTGTGATAGCGGTGATGATGAGCTCAACTCCAGCTACGAATCTTCTGAAAATACCCATGTTTTGAAAAATCTTCAAAATGTAGAAACCCGACGTCGATCAAAGCTTCGGACAAAAAGCCAAAAAGCGAGCCTAACCACCAATTGCAAAAAAGAGTTATTCAGCGAAGATGAGCTGGGCATATGAGGAAGGAATACATCCGCTATATCTTTAAATAGCGAAATTGGGAAGATATAAGTTATGGAACGATAATGTTTCATTTGGAATCCACGGATTTACATTTTGGCAGGTCTGGCGAAACGGTTACTCTACCATTTATAGAATTATGAGTAGAATTTCAGGGTAGGTGTAACCATGAGTTTCACTGGTCAGAATCTGTGATATAGACAACGCTCATGATCTGTCTATAATGAGACGATCATAGACAGTCGCATTACCAGGATAGCGTTATTATCGTCAAAAGGCGATGGAGAGACCTCAGGACCCCTAATGATGCGATGGTTAGTGCATGGCGAATTTCTGCAAAGGAGACATAAAAGTATAGACGGACGTTCTGATGGGAACTTGGGGCGCTAGATGTGAACGGTGGACATCTAAAGCTCGCTACCTAGTCAAAGAAAGTTGTCATATTGGAGTATATAATGCTTTACGCATCACGGAACAAACACAGCTAGGAAAGCTCTTGTATATTGCAGTGTAGTGTAGCGTTGGAGGTTGGGATCTCCTCGGGCTATTTACACCCTGGCCAGTGGATATGTCAGTCTTGAATGTATGGAGTACACATGAACATTTTCTCGCAGAATGGAATACAAATCAATACAATAATCAAGGTGACTGACTTCTTCTACAGTATGTCTATGAGCTCGTGAAGCTGATAAATAAGTCTTGCATATCTCCTGCCCCATCAATCATAAGTGGAAGCTCGATGGAAATTGATATTCCCCCAACAGTCTCTTTTGCATGGTTATTTAGTAAGAGGGTCCTGAATGATAGACTTGGTAGCTGATTTTCTCCCCTTTTCAGCTGGCTAATGAGTTGTTCAACCTACTTCTTCGGGATATTCCAACATCTAATATATCATTCATACATCAAAGTCCACTCCCGAATCTGGCTCCCCCAGCCACCCATCGATCACACTGTGTGTGCACGTAAGTGCAGTATTAAGTAGTTGGTTGAAATGAAGGCTTTTGTGCGAGGTGAAAGCGGGGTTGAATATGCATGTGGAAAAAAGGGGTAAAGACGGATTCCGTCAAACTAAGAAGGGTTAGGCAAATCATCTAACTCGGCCAGCAATACCTCTAGAATGCTACTCCTGCTACCAATGGCGACAACGACAGTTTAACTTTACCAAACAATGTATATGCGGGGAGTCTTACAGCCGACAACTTTATTTGCAGTATGCCAACACGAGACCAAGCTGCAACAGATCGGAAGGGTGTTTTTTCTGATGAACCGACGCAGAATGAATGTGAAAGCTCGGTGTGATGAGAGGAAATCCTAGTGATGATGGGCGGTTGGGGATGTTAATATTGACCTTGACTGCTGGGCCCAGTGTACCAAGCAGGTACAATGGCCTATGAATATCAGATACTAAGGATGATTACAAGTTATCACTATTCGAGTGCATTAATATGTTTATTATAAACTGTTGATTGGAATAGTAAACATGCAAGACTGAACAAAAGAGTATTTGTTGAGCGTTGGACAAGAAGGACTGGACAAAAAAAGAGAATGCATGACAGTTGGAATCCAAATCTTTGGCTACTATAACAGCATGAAATGGTGTGAAGTGCCTGCAGCCTGATTAGTCGTTAATTCTCTCATGATACAACAGATCAGTTCCAAGAAATTCAATAAAAATTAGTCATGTAGAGCTGAACATAGACCATGTATGAAGCAGAAGGTTGGATATAAATTAGAACTCCCCATCAGTTCATTCAAACTCCAATCCACAAACTCCAATCCTTTTATTTTGGCACACAAACACTTGATAAATCAAACTCCCACATCTTAGGAAAAGAAACTCCAAAGAACTTTCGATTCCTCTCTTGCTTCTTGAAAATTAAAATGTCGTTCAAGACGTACGATTATGGTGATCTCAGAGTCACTTTGACGAATCAGCTAGAGTGGCTTTATGACGACGCAGGTTCTGGCGTTGGTACTAGTGCCGGCTTCTATCAGCCAAGGCCTCAAGGAAACATGTGTGCCTTGGGTAGTATCGGCCATCCTTCACATGAGATCATTGACCGCAAGAGAGCTGTGCTCCTTGTCGGACCAAATCCAAACACTTCGCCTAGTATGCCAGCCGTTAAGCGACCAACTGGTTACACTGAAATCTGGAATGACAGAGGATCTGGTGGTAAACACGATGGCTCGGTCTGGCGGCCCATTGCGCCTTCTGGTTATTCTTCGTGCGGCGATGTTGTCAATGGCTCATATTCAGCACCTTCAACAGATAGAATATGGTGCTTGCGAAACGATCTTGTCAAGCCTGCTGCATATCAAGCAGCCCAATTCTGGGACCGCTTCGGTCTTGCGCCAGGCGGGAGGTTGAATCGCATGATGTTTGTGAATGTTGTCGCAAATCCTGTTGGCTTCAATGGATCTGAAAAGATACCCCTCAGCGCGGGCACTTTTCGAGCATATCGGGAGATTAATACGGACACTAGAAACGAGATCGCATTTGTCCCCTTGTTAACAGTGAAAAATAATTTCCAGCCTTTCGGAACCATCGCGCCTTCGATTACACCTTCTACTATACCTAGTCAGGGTGAGCAGTTCCAAAGCAAAGAGCAGTGCCGTGTTCTATTACCTTTCACGGCTTTTTTCCCTGCCACACACCAACGTAGTCTTGAACTTATCCAGGATCCTTTCATTAGCATAAGTCGAAGTATTGCCTGGTACGTCGAAGGAGTCTGGGTCAACAATGGTAGCGGTCCCTTTAATCGCGAGAAGGTCATGAAATGCGGGATCAGCAAGACTCAAAGCCAAGAAATGTCTCACAGCGTTGGAGTAGAAATCTCAGCTACAGCCGGAATTGGTTGCATCGAATCCAGTATCAAACTCAACTACCAATTCACCAGTACAACTTCTTCATCTTTCACTGAGTACAAGGAGCAAGAAGTGACAGAAAAGTTTGAAGTTCCTGCAAAACATGCAACTGTCTTGTTCAGCAAGCATGTTAAGATCACGGCTTCCCGTGGGAGCGTTCCACAGTATGCCGAGATATTGGGCGAAGTTGAAATGACAGCTAATGATGACGTGCACTTCAGTGGATGTGCACTTTGAAAAACAGGGGTTTTATGGCGAAGGACTGAAGGAGAATTCAACTGTTTTACGTGGTTTGGCTTGGAAATGCAACTTTCAACTCTTTCTCTTCTATTTCGTTTTGTTTTAGTGAATTTTTCTGTTTAAGCGGAGGTTTGAGGTTCAACACAAAACCATCTGCTTTAACTTCATTTGCCTATTCAATCATCAGTCTTTATAGTTTGTTTAGTGTTGTTGGAATAGGATTCATGACCAAGTATATGGACCGCACTAGGTTTCGCTAGGGCCTTGGCTACTTACTACATATATAACACTCTTCACATCTGTATCTTAACGAAAACCAGACAAGTTTATACTTTATATCTAAGAGGTCATTCGGTGGCCAGCTTACAGAATTTTGTAACTTGTCTCTCAAATTGTAAATTTGTTGATCTAAGAACATACAGTGACCGTGTACTGCTACTAGCCATAGATTCTTTTCACGCCGAAACTCACTTTTTTTATTTATTATAATATAAGAATTTAATATTTTGAAAAGAAATCTTTTTACAAAATTAAAAATATTCATCTAAAGATTTGTAATCTTTAGTTTTATAAATTTTAATTATTGATTAATAAAATTCTATAATTTAAATTTTAAATTTTTATTATATATTCAGTTTAAAATAATCCAATATCTTTATTTTTAATTAGATTTTTATTGAAATCTAAATTATTATAATTTTGTAATATTAATATATAATTAACAAAATATTTAATTATTAATTTGTAAAACTTTATAAAAATCTTTGTTAGTATTAATACATCAAATTATATTCAATTTGAAATTATCTTTTTGATATTTTTATAAAAAGATATGATTTATTTAATTTAAAAAAGAATAACGAAAAGCTTTGATGTTATTTTTAAGATCAATTGATTCTTTGTTATGTGTGACTCTTATATAATCTTCCGCTGAGGGGTACGGAATAGATGATCTCATAAGGATTGCTGCAGATGATGGATAAGAATGGTTTTATATGAATTAGGAGTATATAGATGCCGCAGGTTAGAGGTCCACCAGGTCTAATCGAAGTGAGGCTTATGGGGCGAAGGGATTATGGTGATGCGATGCTATGCTACAGTTAGCAATTAATCACTTGTGTTGTCTGATAATTAGTGAGTTTCGTCTGATTTTCTCCAAGGGGCAACAGGAAGAGGCGATCAGGATTAGTAATTTCATATGTGATGATGATAATAGATGCATACGGTAGCCTTCCGTATTTGAGTATTAATATATGCGTAAATAGATGATTGGATTTGAGGGAACTGGCAGTAGATGAAATGATCACATTTGCGGGATAAATAGATTAAGATCTTCTAAAACTACGGAGTACTTAGGGAGCTAGGGAGTTGTTGGTATCTTACTATTACATCGTGACAGCGTGATGATTGTGACTATATTATTAATAAAATTCTAGATTCTAGATGCTCTTCTACCGATGATATACCGACAGAGCGACGACCCAGAACCCAAGAGGATGATCTTGGCGCTGGGAAGAAGAGATGCAGTGATTAATCAAAGGGAGTGACTGCAAGGAATCGGGGTATTTCAATCCAAGTTGTTAATCCGCCAATATTAGGGCCAGCATGCGCTAATGTAAGGTTATACTGTGAGAAAGTTGGGATTGTGAGCCATATACATTGAGGTTTGTAAGGATTCAATTATAATCTTTTGTAATTAGATATAAGAAAAGGTTTTCGTCTTTTTCTTTCTACAATGAATCAACTCTTTATATTCTACTTTTCAACCCCAAATCATTCCAATCCCAAATTTATTGTGAAACTCATTTTCTCTATAAATGATCTGTTATAATATAATCTAATCAACCTTCCTCTCTCATTTCCCTTCACAACATACTATCATAACGCACGTATCTCGACCACTCTCTTTTACAATACAATTTAATAAATATTATCATTCTTATATATATCTAAGTAAGTTTTAATATAGCTGGGACACTCCATGTATGCTCTTCTGCCATTCGAAGACTTATTACCTATCCAACGGAATCACCCACTCAAACGAGGTTCTCACCACAGTATAGATTCCTTTGTTTGTCTTTCTCGAACATCTATCTTGTACTACTCTTCTGTATCAAGTCGAGAAACTGAACACAAACTTTTTTATTACCAAAAAAAATATTTTTTTAAGATCAATAAAAGTTTATATTTATTTTGAAATTAGTTTAATATCAGATTCAAATATAAAGAGAATTATTTATAAAATATAAGTTTTTTATAAATTAAATTATTAAATTAGTTATTATTACTTTAATTAAGAATTATATTTTTATTGATTTCTAAAATATTTAATTTAAAATAAGTATCTATAAATAAATATAAAAATAGAAATAATAATAATATTATCAAAATATTATTCAAGAATATTATTTGATTTAATTTTAATTGTTTTTGTTAAAAGATATTATAATATAATTTATTTAATAAAAAATCTTATAAAGATATTAATATATTAAATTTTATTTTATATTAAAACCTTTATATATTTTAAATACTAAAAGTGGTATATTTATTGATTTTCAATTAATAAGTTACTTTTTTACAATCAATAAACTTTATTAATCCCCTCGATTAATAAATTATTGATTTCTTACTTCTTAGAGAGATTTTACACTGCTGAATTACCCAAAGTGTCACTGTCGCTCCCAAAATGGAGGTTGTAAGCCTGCAACAATTACAAGCAATGGCCCTACATTCGTAACACCGGTGTATAGCTAGCGAAACGCCCAGCTATTAATTTGTAAAACTCTACAAAAACCTTTTATTGTATTCGATCTGAAATTATTTTTTTGATATTCTATAAAAAGAAATGGAATTTCTAGTTTAGAAAGGACAATTAAAAGCTTCGGTGCTATTTTAAGACTAATTGATTCTTTGCTACGTGTGACTCTTACACAAAGCCCTATACGTCGAGTAGTTTGATATACCGGCTGCAATCAAAACCAAGTTCTTATTCAAGCGGGTATTGCTTTTCAAAAGCCATATGTTGGTCTGCGTGAGCCACATCATGTACGATTACCTAACCTTGTTTCGTTTTTTGAAAGGTTCGCCGCAGCATACTATCATAATGATCATGATAGAGTAGGGTTAACACTGTTAGGACAAGTTTGGGTGACAGAGCTCAAAATGCAGAAGGACAAGGACTCGCAAACCCCGCAACGGACCCGAACGCGGCTTTTGTACTTGCTGCTCAACTCTAAGAAATCAGGATAATGAAGTCTTAAACTTCTTTTATTGAGGTTCATTTAAAGAATGATAGACTTTACTACTCATGAGTCATTTTACTCAATAGCTAAAATGGTAAGATGCTATCACCACTCAGAACTTTCCCTACATCTTCATCTCTCTCACCCTTTGCTGCACTTGCTACACGATCTCCTCCATCTGACGGTAACGCAGCACCTCTCGCCTTCAAAGACTCTGCATTTCCCGTGAAGTTTGTTGCACAGAGTCCTGGATCTACACCAAACACAAGAAACCCGTCTGACTTCAACCGCGCATGATACATAATCATCATCATATTCAAAGCCGCCTTACTCGTGCGATATTCCATACCATGAGGATTATGGTAGGGCGATGACGTATTCGCAGCATGTTGAATAGAACCCATGCTCGAACTAACAAAGATAATTCTTGGTGGCACATGGGTAGCCTTGCGAAGCAAACCCAAGAAGGCCTCAGTAACACTCAATGTGCCTACTATGTTGACTTCCAAAACTTTTCGCAATGCTTCTCGTGTTGGTGGACTCTCCGTTGAAATGATACCGGCGTTGTTGATCAAGATGTCGAGTTTGCCAAAGTCGCTCGCGAGACGAGTAGCTGCTGCATCGACAGATTGATCATCTGTTACATCGAGTTGAGTTGCCGAGACGCTTCCCTTGATTTCAGGAATAGCCTGAAGCTCTTTGATGGCTGCTTCAGCCTTGTTGAGGTCGCGGCATCCAAGGATAACATGGTATTCTGGACTGCTAAGAAGCAGGTTTTTGGCCGTCTCGAATCCGATGCCCTGGTTTCCTCCTTTGATACATAATTAGAATTTTTTGCACAGTAAACAAATACAGTGATTAGGAAAAATGATACATACCTGTAATAAGAACTAATTTCTGTGCTGTACTCATCTTGATTGTCTTGTGTATAGAACGGAATTATCTGTAGTATCGTAATCAATCATTATATAATTTTAGATTTATCATGTTTACGGAGTTAAACGGACTTATTGAACGGGCTTAACGACAGATTAGATATGAAGTATTGAAACTGTGGTGCAATGTAACCAACCTATTACCTTTTTAGGGCAATGAACAACTTGGGACCGGACCGGGACCAGACTCGCACCCTTGACTATGAAAATATCAGCATACCAATCAACTTCTCATTTGATTACACGAAGATGAGCAGCTGATCGGAGTAAATGATTGAGTGAATGGCCAAAGTGGATGGATGGATCTGTCACGATTCACGGTTTAGATTATAGTAGTATTTTTGATGTTGGTGATTTAGATGCTGATTATTGAGGGGGTGTGATTTAACCGTTGTTTTCGAGGGACCTAATTGTTTACGAATAGGAACCCAGGATTCTTAGGATAAGTGTTCTAGTTAATCGATTGTAATGGGATAATTATTCTAAAGGATATTGTATTCTAGGGTAAAGGTTTTTAAAGGAAAAGCTCCTGGGACAAGTATTCCAGGAAAAGAAAGGCCTCAGGATCAATCACATGATAAGGAGCCCTAGAAGCTTGAAAAACTCCTAGAGCTCCAGAAGCTTTTTGAAGCTCTAGGGCTCCACGAAGCTCCTTTTCATTCATTAGTATATAATCAGAATAGTTTCATAGTTTAGAAGCTTCATTCATATTCAACTTAATTATCAATTAGTTTACCTATATTCCAATTAATCTAGTAACGAATTCACTTTCAAGTGGATAACCAGTGATTAATAGCCTTAACCCACAACTACCAACCATACAAAACCTCAGGCAGCCGCTGCCTCGACCAGATCGTTACATAAGTATCAATTCGATAAAGTAATATTATATCTTTTCAAACTCTTTAGTTTAACAATTTGATTTCAATTATTTCAAAAGATATAAATTAAGATAGAGATGTTGTTATAAAAGAAATAAAGGATTTTAAAAAGATTATTGTTATTGAAATTTTTAAAATTATTTTATTCGATAGATTTATAAACAATCAATAGAAATTTGAAATTTTTTTATTTCAATTTAAGATCTATTTTGAATTCAATAAAGATAAATTCAATTATAATATCAATAAAAGTATTTGAATTGTTTTCTACTTTAAAAGAAAGATTTTCAAATAGATTCAATTTTATTTTAAAGATTACTTTATTCATTTGAATGATCTTAAAAATTAAATATATTTAATTTAGATTATCTTTGAGATGTTTATTAGATTTAAAAAGGAAATATAATAAATACTCAGAAATATCAACAAATTATATAATATCGAATTCAAGATCTATAATCTCAAATAAATAAAATTAGCAATTAAGTATATTATAAAATTTAAATAGTATATAGATATTATAAAATAAAAAAAGAATACTATAATAAATTATTATAAAAAAGATTTCAAAATAGAAATTAAATTAGAATTAAATTGTAATTATATTTAGAAGGATCTGAATGAATTAATTGAGGAGTTAATCAAAATAAATAAGATGTTTATAAATATTAGAAAAAGTATTTGTAACGATCTGGTCGAGGCAGCGGCTGCCTCAGGTTTTCGTATAATTGATAGTTATAGGTTAAGACTAATAATCACTGATTATCCACTTGAAGGTGAATATATTACTAGATCAATTAGAATATAGATAAACTAATTGATAACTAAATTGAGTATAAAGCTTTTAAATTATAAAATTATTCTAATTATATACTAATAAATATAAAGGAGTTTTATAAAACTTTAGAACTTCAAAAAACTTCTAAAGCTTTAAAAACTTTCGAAGCTTTTAAAACTCTTTATCATATAATTAGAATCAAACTATATATCCGAACTTGCTAAAAATAAAAAGACCACATAAAACAATTACCATACAAATTTATATACAAATCGTTTTGCTTTTCGATAAAACTTAAGCTTATATAAATACATTGATTACTGCCCCTCAATATATCCTTATCTTAATTGTAAATCATAACACTATCCCCTTCTTAACTAAATATTATCCCAATCACTTATAACCCTCCAAATTTCATTTAATAATTAGTATTTTTCTTCTTTTATATTCTATCTATCTCTTTTCCTTTATTATAAACAATTCTAATTCCTTTAATAGTTTAATTCAAAGAAAGAAAAAGGAATATATATATTTAACTATAATTATCGATTTTATTAATATTGAAATGATTCCTTATTCTTATTATCAATAAAAGAATCATTATTATATTAAAGATTTTTTTGATAAACATTATTTATATTATTTGGAATATATATGAAATTCTATTTCATATAATACTAAGTTTCGTTTGGAAGATAATTAGGATCATAAAATTCCTTAGAAACATAATTAGAAAAGTTTTGATCGATAGATCGATAAGTTAGATACTAAAATCGTTAAATCTTCTACTAAAACTATTTACCTTATTAAACAAAAAATACAACTCAAAAAACAATACAATGAAATATTATATTACAAACTCAAATATCTTGATAAACTTGATACCTTTGAAGAAAAGAAGCGAAAAGAAAAGAATAAAGAAATTCCTACAACCCTTCTATCACCTTCTAATCAATTTGGTTAATTAACCCCTAATCGATTTGATCAATTTAGTTAATTTGATTAATTTGATCAATTTGATTAATTAATCTCTGATCGATTTGATCAATTACCAATTGACTCTATCAATCCCAACAAAATTCCTACAAATGAATTCGATTCTTTCGATTCTTTTTTGTAGGAAATAATGAATTCTCTTTTCTTTTGAATAAATCCGGATTCTATCGATGAAACTCCTGGAATTTTTTCAAATATTTAATCTTTTTCTCAAGTTCTTATGTATTTTCGGAATCAAAATAATCTTCTTATTTTATCAAGTATTTAATTTTGTTTTTAATATATTTACAATCTAATATCTTTTTCATTTTGTATTCGATATTTTGATCTATAGATATAATTTCTATTTCAGAAGTTTTAGATACTTTTAAGAATATTAATTCGAATAAAGATATATAGAATATTAAATATATATTCATACTTTTTGATAATGTTAATTTATAATTCAAGAATTTTTTAACTTTCTTGATTTTGAATAATCCAAATTTCTTATAATCCAATTTTGTACTAGATTTTTTTGTTTCGATGTTTTTTCAAAATAAATAAACTTTATCTCCCCCTTTTAATATTGATTTTTGATTATATTTTCGGTTATAATAATGTATATTTCTTTTGATAACGAATTTCAATTTTGTTGTTATTTCTTTATAGATTTCTTTAAATCTTTCTATTTATACTATTACAAATTGATTTTCTATCTTTATAATTCCTAATTCATAATATACAATCAATTCGTACCTATAATTAATATAATTCGAAATGATTTATATTGTTTTTGATACTGAACTGTTATATACGAATTATATTAAAAATAAAAGTTCTATTCAATTGTTCTATTGATAATTTATATAATATCGAAAATAAGTTTTGATAATTTGATTCATTCTTTCGTTTCTTTTATTGATTTATAAATAAAATATAATAAATATTTTTCTTTTTACTCCTAATAATACTATTAAAGCAATCCAAAATTTCAATATAAAAAGTTTATTTCTATTAAAAAGTATTTCCTTTGATAATCTATATATTATAATAATCTCTTTCAAAAATATAAAAACTAATATTTCTATAATTAATATTATCTAATATAACACAAATATCAAATACTTCATTAATCTATTTATTATAACAAAAAGGTAATTGTATATTATTTCTATTATTGGATCTTTGGATTTTGATAATAAACCTATGAAATCCTATAATATTGATTTTTATAATATAAATAATATTTCAATAATGTTTATTTGTTTATAAAAAGTATAATGAAAAATCTTATTCCTAATATAGATATTACACTCAATGATCATTTTATTAATTATATTACAAAATCCCGGATTCCAATATTACCTTTTGATTCTTAAATATATTTTTTATATTCCTTGATATCCATAAACTAATAATATATATTGTTCTGTAATATATTCAAAGGTGATACTATTTGATAATTAAATTTTATTTTTTATTTGAAACAATTTATTAATAATTATTAATAATTTCAATTATTTGATACTTTCCTTATTTTATTATATTTTTATAAGTTTATCTTTCTAAATCTTTATTAATTTATTTTCTATAATAACGATTTCTATTAGATTAAAAATAAAATCTCCATTTAATAAGAATTTCAAGATCATTGTTTTTTGATAGGTTTTATTATCTTTATAATCTAATGATCTATTTAAAGTATCTACTCTTGTATTATCCTTTTTTTTAACATATTTGATTATCAAATCAAACCCTATTAGTTCTTTAATCTATCTAATTAATCTATAATTATCTAAGACTTTAATAATAATAAAGATTCGAAGATTTATATAATCAATATAAATAATTACTAGAAATTTAATTCTTTAAAAGTAGATTCTTTAATATTTCAATATTTTTATAATAACTATAAATTCTTTCTTATAAATATTATAATTCTATTCTGTTTTATTTATTTTGTTTGAATAATAAATAACAAAATATAATTTTTTATTATCGTCTTTTTGTAGATAAACTTCTATTACACAGATATCCGAAATATTTGTTTCGATAATACTTTCTCGATCATTATAATAATTATAGAAGATAAATTCCTTTGTAAATTTATTCTTGATTTCCTGAAAAGTTTATTTTATCTTTTTATTCTATATAAAAGTTATTCCTTTTTTAATCATTTCAATAAAAAGTTCTACCATTTTCGAAAAGTTTTTTATAAATATTCAATAAAAATTGACGAATTCTAATATAGATTGTATATCCTTGATATTTCTGAATCTTTTCTAGTTTTTTATTTTCTTTGTTTTTTTAAAATCTATATTTATTTATCCTAATTGAATAATATATCCTAGAAATATTATTTTTTATATTTCAAATTCATATTTCGATAATTTGAATTTTAAATCTACTTTTTTGAATAC